CGAAGAATAGCTGAGGGGAGTAGTGCCGTGGTCAAGAAGATAATGGTACATGGTGAGGTGTTAGTGGAGAAGTGTATGAAAATTGAAGACGAGGAAGGTGTTCAAAAAGGGTTTGAGGAGAAGGTGCGTGAAGTTTTGAATGAGATTGAAGTTGCAAAGAAATGTGAAGACCCCAATTTGTTACGTATGAAAGGTGTTAATATAGAACCATTGATATTAGTGTATGAGTATTGTAGTGAAGGGAGTTTATATGACGTATTGAGTAAGATTCGATTAACTGATGACGAGAAGTTAGGGTTAAGCATAGATGTGAGTCGAGGGGTGAAAGCGCTTCATTTGAAGAATTTTATTCATCGTGATATCAAATCACCGAACGTGTTAATAAAGAGGGAGAATGGGAAGTTGAGGAGTGTTTTAGCGGACTTTGGGTTGTGTTCCAGTGGGAAAGAAAAAGACGAGGCGAGGAATTTCAACCCGATTTGGACTGCGCCAGAAGTTCTGCAAGGGAAGAAGTGTAGTTTCAAGTCAGATGTGTATTCATTGTCTTTTGTCATATGGGAAATATTTACACAGAAACGACCATTTGGGGACATTCAGTTTATGGCGGGGATCTATTCTGAAGTGACGAGTGGCGGAAGACCCCCATTGAGTTGTGTGAGTAACGAGAAAATAAAAAACTTATGTGAGGAAGGGTGGGACGAGAACCCCCATATGAGACCAAACTCATGTAAAATAGTGAAGAGACTGGACGAGATCAATCAAAAGGATCGAAGTAAATAATGTTTTTTGTATGTTATAAAAATGGTATTCAATGATTTTTAAAACTATAAAACTAGTAGATGGAGGTGATTAAACGACGAGTTCCCCCAATTGGATTATTCAATAAAACATGTAACGGATGTTACGTGAACAGTGTCATTCAGTTCATTATGAGCTCATCTGTTATTGTCGATCAACTGTTTTGTTCACAGCCCAAAAACGAAGTGGTGCAAAGAGTGAAACTCTTGTGCTACGACTTGTGTAACAGTGGATATGACACGGTGGACACGTTCTACTTTTTAGATAACTACGAACCTAATACAGGAGATCCAAATGAATTTTTAATGATGGTCTTGTTTGAGTTGGGAGAATGTAAGGTGACTCTAAAGAAGGATATCAAAGCGGTGTGCAAGAAATGTGGGAAAGAGTATGCAATGAAGTCCTGTGAGAACTACTGGACGTTAAATAATATGGAGAACGAACACGATTTGGAAGTTATCATTCAGAGACATAGCGATGTGATGTGGTGTTGCGAAGAAGATCAACCTTGTGAAGTGACATATCAGGCAATTCCCGAGACGATTGTGTTTTTGGTGAACAACATTTGTGAGAACAATGGACAATTGAAGAAGATAGAGAAGAGTGTTTCACAGAACCGAGTGATTAATATTAAAGGAGTGGAATACAGTCTTATAGCAATGATAAGCCACATTGGGTGGGAATTGGTTGGTCACTGTAGATGTTACACAAACACTGAATTGGGATGGTTCTGTGCTGATGATACCAACGTGTACAAATGGAATGGGTGTTTGTTTTTAATAGTTTAATTGTTATATATATTATAAATATATACCTTATTTTTTAGGTCTGAACGAAGGTGAACATGAAGTCATAGTCGCTATGTTATATCAAAAAACTGGTACTATTGATCCAAAACTCTGTGTGGATGGATTGAGTATTACAGAAGACTATTTCAATTTCTTAAATCAGAAAAAAGGTAATTGATTTATTATCAGTTCAATACAATTAAAAAGGTATTTTCATTCATCAATAACGCATTTGATTCAAAATTTGAATAAAAAGGTGAACTGTTATGACTTGATTGACAACACGAGCTAATGAGCCGTGTGTCACCAAAGTCCTATAACTCTATTCACTTATTGAAAAGGTTCAGGATGCATAAGCAGACCAAACCAGCAAAGTGAAATACTCAGTTTTCCATTTAATTTCTTAAATAGAGAAAAATATAGGGTTTAATGGTATCCCTTTCAATTTTTAATCCAAAACAAAGAATTCAATAAGAACTAAACATTATAATATTAATATTAATAACAAATTAATTTAAATAGTAGTAAAAAATAACTATCAATATAATTTCATTAAACTATACTGAACATGAAAAACATTTTTACTAAAACAAAAACTGAAAAAAAGAGAAAACATCAAATGAGCAAAGCAAGTCGATCCCACTCGAAAAAGTCGACGTCGAAAACTCAAGAAGTTGAAGCGGAGGACCTTTATTTAGAAGACTCCGATTCGGAAGTCGAAGAAGTACTTTCTCCGAAAAAACCAAAGCGAAAGAGTTCATCACAACGTGTCGCCACACAATCGAAGAGAGGGGAATTAAGTCCCGAGGAGTTCAACTCGATAGTGAACGACATTGTTCGAAAGGCTTTAACATATCAATCCACGAAAAAAATATTAACACGAGAAGACATCGTCCGCACGGTGTTTGCAAAATATAAGGTCAACCCCAGAAATAAGTTTAAAAACTGTATTGAAGAGGCGACCGCTCGACTTAAAAAACAATTTGGAATGGAGTTGAAAGAGATTAAGACTTCCCCACAGAAGTCTTCATTCATCTTGCTCGACTATACCCCGATGAATGAAGACTTAAAGGTATTACCTCTCGAAGGAATGACCCACGACGAAGTCGTCGTCCACGGTATCACATTCATTATTCTGGCTTTGACATCACTCAATGGTGAAGCTATATTCGATGACACACTTATCGCACATTTGCAAACACTTGACATCACTGCAGTACCCGGACAACCATCTCTACAAGTGTTCATTGATAAAGTTCTAACCAAACAATACTACTTACGAAGAATTATACTCACAAATGACAATGGGACGAAGACTATTAAATACTCGACGGGAGCAAGGGCTTATGCGGAACTAGGAAAGGACGGGTTATATTCGTGGATTGCAAAAATACATGGAGACGAATTGGCAGAGAGTGAGAAAGCAATGTTCAAGAAAGAGACGGAGAACATGTTGAAGGAGAACTACGACGAGGCGGAAGATGCCAATTTGATTGATAATTAATATTACTATTAATTCTATTATAAACGTACTAGAATTAATATACCATTGAAATACTATTAATATACTATACTTTGACACGAGTTTGAAGGAAAAGGAAGTAAACACCAAGATAAATTAACTTAACACACCAAATCAAGACAAGAAGGCACTGGAACATCAGTTTTGTTTATTTTGTCTAAGATGTCTTTGGGTAATGGCTGTTTCTTGTCGTTTCTGTATTTGTTCAAAACCGCATACATAACACTTCCACTGACATGAGGCATATTCTCTTTCAACGCTATAATGTTGAACTCGGGAGATGCCATATCAACAACTAACAAGCCTGAAATTTCAACGGCAGGCATTAAGTATTTCACATACGGTTTGAGGTCCGAAGAGTCTTCCATTTCACCTTCTAAGATCGAAAAGAAGAACTTGAGTTGGAGACCTTTCGCAAACGTCACGCGCTCACTGCAAACGAGTAACTCAATCACTTTGTACGTCACAAAATTGACTATTTGACTCATTAACTGCTTGACTACATTTCGCTCAATACTTGTGTCACTTAATGTCTTGACTAAGTACTTCATGTGACGCAAGATATACCCAGCAGAAACCAATTCATATTCTGCAGCTTGTCGTTTCTCGAAACACTGATTGTCTTCTATAATACCTTCTAAGAACCCTTCGTATTTCACAACACAAACTTGAACAGTCCGCTTGAAAAAGAAGTCAAGTAATTCACAGAGTTGAGACTGCAAGTCACCTCTCTTCTCAAACTTCTCGACTTTGTCTTTATGAAGGACATAGAGCATTGTACTTAGAAGGTAGATATTCTCTTCTAATGTGTTTCCAAGACTACGCAACACCTCGATTTCAGTGATCTCGTTGTCACCTGTTGCTAGAGATAAAATCACTTCACTGAAGCCTTTTGGGTCTTTTTTGTTCTCGACATATCCTTTCACTATTTTGTCTGTAATGGATTCCACTGGTGTCGAGTTTTCAGTCTCTTTGTTTTGTTTTAGCGCGTCAAGCTCTAATTGAAGTTCTTTGTTTCTCTTTTGATTCTTTTCGCAAAGGTCTTTGTTTTCAGAGACTTCAGAACTTAAAGTGTCATTGCTCTCTTTTAAACTCTTTATTTTGGATTCATAGTCATTCCTCATTTTTTCATTCTCAATGCGTAAAGTTTCATTTTCATTTTGTATCTTCTCTAACACTTCTTTGGCTTTGTCGTTTTCCCCTAAACTCAGTGTTTCAAGGTTCTTAATATTTGCTTGACTTTCCTCCAACTTTTTCGTATACGCAATCTTCTCAGCCTTTTCATTTTCAAGTTGAGATAGAGTGGTGTACTTTTCCCTCTCAAGTTCCTCCAATTTTTGCTCAAGGTCTTTATTCTGTGTTTTTTCATTTTGGAGTTGTGTGACAATTTTTTCTTTTTCGTTTTGAACATTTTGTAATTCCTTCTTCACTTTCTCGTTTTCTGTTCTCAAATCTTCAGTGTATTTCAACGAGTTTTTGATTTGTAAGTTGTCTGAAGCCGCATACTTCTTGAATGTCTCAACTTCCTTAATGAGTTCGTGCTGTCTGTCAATACATAAAGCACACCACAGAACATCAAAACATTGAGAGTATACTTCAATAAAGAACAGAATAACTACCACTCATTCACTCAAAGACAATGTATACTCTCGACTCAAATTATGGCATATTATTAATTTAAATTATAATATTATTAAAGTATAAACGACAAACTTTCTCGTTCTTGATTTTCTCGATCTCTTCATTCTTCTGTCGCAAAAGATCTTCAGACCCTTTGGCCGCATTCTTCTCGACTTCTTCAACCTTCTTCTTAAGCTCTTCTATGTCTTCTTCTTTCTTCGCTACAGTGCCCTTCAACTCAACAGCAAGTGCAGCAGATACTGCTAATTCTCCAGCTACCGCTTCTTTTGCTTTCGCTTCGTCGTCGACCTTCTTCTTGAGGTCTTCAATTTCCTTTTCGAGTTGATTCTTCTTATTCTCCTTTTCTTCAATTGTCTTCTTCATCTCAGCAGCTTCATTTTCTTTGTTTGAAATAGTTCCCTTCAACTCGGCAGTCAAGCTGTTAGCAGACTGAAGAGCGGCTTGTGTATTTTCCTTTTGCTTTGTCTCTTCCTGAAGCTTGTTGTTCAATTCCGAGATCTTCCCATCTTTGTCCTTAAGAGCACTTTCCTATATATTAGAATATACTTATACTATGACGTGTGCAATAATTGAAGCGAGTGGTAGTATTGGGTATAATGACTCAGGGCTTGAAAAGCAAGAGGTGGTGTGCAATGTTATATTATCTTTATTTATAATGTTCGACAGACTCTTTTTCGTCAACAAACTTTCTCCTTGGCAGCAGATTTAGTCTTTTTATCAAAGTCGGCTAACAACTCTTCTTCCCTCTTCTTACTTTTGGAAGTCAATTCTTTCGTCACCTTTTCAACGGCTTTCTCTATCGCCGTGTCTAAGTCCTCTTGTGTAAATTTCTTCTTGTTATCCTTTTTACCTTTAATTTTGACATCCATGGCAGCTGCTGAAAACAAAGACTTCTGTCGTTCAGCTTCTTCTTTAGCGGCTTCTTCCGCCTTTTTCTTCCTCTCGGCATCTTCCTTTTCTTGCAATTCCTTCTGCCGCCGTTGTTTCTCAATTAACTCCTTCTCTTCTTTGTCATCTTCTTCTTCGTTCTTGATGACCTTTTCCTTTTGAACTTCATGATTGGTCTTACTGACTTCTTGAATGAGTAACTCATGAACATCCAAATTACTGCTTTTGGCTGCTCCATTGACGGGATGCATTTGAAGAACTTCGGTCTCGTCCTCACTTGCTGTTTCTACTCCAACACCAGAAGATATCAAAAGTTGAAGGTCTCCAGTGTTCTTCCCTTTCATACTAACTATGACTGTTATCTTCTTCCCATCAAGATCCGCATATTTAGCTAAGTTAACCATCCCTTTACATAACTCTTTTGGTTTCTCTGTTGCAGTCCAAACAGAGACTTCCATTCCTTTCTCATCATACCCTTCCTTTTTCTTCAGAAATAGTGTACAATTGATCGGTACAGTGATGGCGGGAGAGTAGAGTAATGTCCCTCCATGGACTTGACCTTTATCTAAGTGTCCTTTGTTCTCTTTCTTGTCCCCCCGCCGCCACTTCATAAAGACTTCAGTGCCTTCGGGTAACCCTTTCAGGTTCGTCACTTGGTGGAATTCCACCGTGTACTTCTGTTTGATGTTCTTCTTTAAAAACGCTTTCATTTGAAACTTAACTTTATCAGTTCGCCTTCTTGTGTCGTGGACACATCACACCACATATCTTGGCGATCTATGAAACTTTGGAATGACCAACGATTTTAACTTTTTCTGTATTCTTCTCTTCGATTATTGGGTCGGATTGGGACTTCATTTGTTCTATTTATTTTTGGTTTTTTATAATTTAATTATAATTTACCAGTTTTTGGGTAAAAAATGTGAAAATAATTGATAATTATATTAAAGTTAAAAGAATTATATATATATAGAATTTGTCTACCATTGAAGGACTATTTACGTGCCTTTCCAATAAGAATAATCAATGCGATTATTTAGAATATCTAAATTTGACGTGCTTTTGGTTACAAAGTTGTTAATCAAAAGACCTTTGAAAACTAAATTGAAACAGTTGAAATACAAATTACCGATTTTCCATTTTGTCGCATTGTTTGTTTATTACAGAAAGGACCACCGCAACAACAGCGACAACGACAGTGTAATCCGCTGCGTTTTGATTTTTAACGAACGAAAGTGCAAGTGTCAGAATAGTGAGTGATACAAAGTTCAGAAGTGCTTGAAAGACAAAAGGAATTTCGACGAAGAGTAAATACAACAATACTGCCAATATCGCAAAAATGAGACCCAAAAGAGTTTGTTGTGGTGTGTGGTAGCCAATGACTATCGTGTCAGTTAAACTTCCCCAAGCAAAGACGCTGTACGAGAATGTCAAGAGTAAAGCTAGAGTCATTTGGAACGATGGTTGAAATTGAATGACTGAAGACCACGTCAGAAGAGCATTCTTTAACGGTAAGGGATATTCTATACATTCCCAGCATACTGTCTTAAGAGGTGACTTGATTGTGTATTGGATGGTGTTTAAAAGGTGAAACAAAACGACGTAGAGAAAGACATAAGTAAAGTAGTGTCCACTGATCCCATTGTATTTGTTCCCATTCTTACTACATAACGTGTCGTTCATATATACCTTTGCTATTACAATCAAGAGATAAAGTGACTTATAAAAGACAAATGCATTTATTATAAGAGTGAATGGATAAACCATCACTATTATCTTATCTACTTGTTAGACTCTATTGAGACTCGAGTTGGTATCCAATTATAATTAAAAAGTTATTAATTTACTATAAAAACAAACGGTGTATTTTTTGGATTAAAGAGACTACAAACACCCCAAATGCACTTGCAAGAGCAAAATATGTTGGGTTCATTATCGTTGAAAATCCCGTTCGATGAGCAGTTTCCATGTTGTCATGACACACCCCAAATCCAGTCAAAGACGATATAACTGCGATGAGAACAAAAAGAGGAACAACGAACACCAAAAACGTGTTGTTGCAAATGAACTGGAGCATCAACTTTCTATTAGAAGTTCTTCGTTCTTTTGTGATATAACAAATAGTAAAAGAAATAAGAAATTAATAATAACAAATAGAATTGGTGTCGACTTCGGGATAAGGAGGGAAGACTATGATATCCCCACATGTCTCAAGCTGTTTTGCTTCACTCGAACAGTTAAAAACATTTGGTTCTTTCACTTCATTGAAATAAGGAATTTGAGAACATAACCTGAGTTCGTCGAAATATTCGCCATCGCAAAAGAGGATTGGGGTAGCATTAAATACACGAAACAATATGTCTGTGATGAACGACTTGGAGTACTTTGTATAATCGTCGCGAATTCCATTGTTTTTGAGCGCAGCCCAGACATCATGACTCTTCACAAAGTTCAAAGGAATCGAAGCAAAGTCACTTGGAGCATCTTTTCCAGAAAAGAGTGATGGGAGACATGTGGCATGTTTCAGAAACTCGTAATTGAAAAATAAACACCTTTTAAGACTCGGCCAATACGTTGCCAAATCATTTTGAAGGGTTGGATGTGTGGAAATGTAGGTGGAAATGGCGTCTGACGTCCATTGAGTGTAACAACAAGATGGGTATTCAGTGTATGATATCTGCGGCCAATACCCATGGATTGAAAACCCTTTGTCAAGTGGAATAGAACTGTGACAACACTTATCTAAACAAAAAGTCCCTGGCCACGACAGCACTAAATATGCAAACATAACACCTCGTGCTTGAGTGGTGTTTATACATGGAATTGTTGGAGTAAAGTCGCAGGCAATAGACAGAGTGATTAAAAAGAATGTTACACAAACCATAGTGTTCATTATTAGATATTTGTAGTTAGTTTCTTTATTCTTTCTTGTTCAATTTCTGTAATATCGTTGTTATTTATTTCTTATCTTTGTAATTATAATATATTATATTATAATTTCAAATGAAAAGTACTATAATTGATCAAATGGATTGAAAACAACAATAATCAAATTGATTATCGATTGATTTCTTATCCAGTTTATTAACTCAAAATCGTTCACATTTGTCGATAATGATTCAAAGTTATTAATAACTTTATTATTATTTTTTTTGTATGAAATATATTTACTATACTTCAATAAAAAAATAATTATAATTAATTAATAAACACATCCAAAGAGTTAAAAATTTATGAAATAATTGAATGAAATAACAAGAAGGAAAAGTGTCGAAGTTTTGTCAATTGAAAACATTCATATCTTTCCAAAAATTCTATATAGAAAACCATATCATGTGTTTTTTCGAAGAAAGAAACTATACGACTAATTAATTCCATGTTAACATGCCCACTTCGCCAGAAGATCGACAAGAACATCCTTTCTTATGTTAAGGAAACATACGCGTCACACAGAGATGAAGAGATTCCAAAGACTCAATTTCTTCTCCCCGACATCACTAAGAATTATTTGAACCTAAAGACCCCACACCATGAGACGAACCCAGAAGTCTATTACGCAACACACATGTCTGGATACTCGAATGTCTGCTTTAGCACATATCCTGTCATTAAAGGAGTCAAATTTGGAAAACCAATTGCCGATTGCACAACGGCAAACATTTTTGAGAATTTTGGAGTGTTTTGCATTGCGGATGGGTGTGGGATGGGGAAGAACCCTGCTGCTTCTGCACATGTTGCATGCGAGAAGTTTGCGGAGTACGTCATATTCAAAATTGGAAAGAAGAAGACGTTAGATAAGGCGATGGATGTGATCGTAGAGGCCATAGCATATGCCCAAACCTTTATTTTACAAACGCAGGAAGAGTCAATAGAAGCTGGATTAACCACATTTCTTGGTACCGTCATATTAAGGACTGGAACGAGTTTTGCGGTGTTATATGCTGATGTTGGTGATTGTCGTGGTCTTTTAATCAACCCTTCTAAAAATAGTATTGAAGAGTTAGTGACTAATTATAAGGGGAGGGTGGATGTGAAAAGTACAGGAGGGCGTTTAGGTCCAGTGAATGGGGAATATCCCGACCTTGAAAATTTCAAATGTGGGGTGCAATTTTGTCCGATTGGGACGACTATTGTTTTGATGAGTGATGGCATTGCGGATAATTTTGATATCAAAACGTTTTGTAAAAAGCCAACATTGTGTGGGTTGGATGGGGAAGAATGGTTGGACGAGAATGAAGAACACTGGAACAAGCGAAGAGCTGTCTTTTATGATAATTTGTTGTCTTTGTATCAAGAGAATTCCCTTGAAAAATTGTGTGATAATTTGTACCACTTCATCGTCGAAAAAACAAGGAAAGTAAGAGAAAATAAAATATTGAAAATCAGCACAGATGATGGGGGAAAGATGGACCACTCAACCTTCGCTTGTTACAAACTCGACGATAATCTCTTCTCAAGTAAAGTCATTTCAAAAAAAGAACTGGAAATTCCAGAGGGAATGAAGTGACCTCAAAGTTGAGTAATTCTTGAATAGTTTTTATTGGTTCTGTTATAGTTGAGTAATATAACAAGATGTAATAATTACCATAATAGTAAATTTTGAGTAGTTAAGTTTTGTTATAAATTATAATAAAATAACTATTTATTGATAATATTTCATTTTTATCTAAACCAAGTTTTTTAGTTTTTATTTAGAAAGCGCTATTTCATTTAAAATAACGGGAAAATGCGCAAAAAACAACTTGAAAAGTTAAACGTCATTCTCAAAAAGTTGAAAAGACCTTCTTATAATTTCTTTTGACGACAATAAAGGCCTCTGCGTTTTTTGAAAAAAAAAGAAAAAAAAGCGGATTTGAAGTCGTGTTGGGCGGGAAAAAAATAAAACAATAATAAGATCAAGTGGAAAGTGTACTGAATATTGATATAAAATCAATAATAATTCGGGGTTAAGTAGAACTAAAAAAAAGTGAAATTAATTATTTCTGATTTTGAATTGTTGGAACAAAAATAACATATTATTAAATAAAATTAATAGATTTTTAATTATAATAGTTTAGAACCATTTAAATTTTTGGGTTTTTGTTCCTATAGAAACAGTCAACATATTTTTGGAAAAAAACCAAACTGCAATTTTAACAAAACAAAACGTTGTTTTCCAAACCCCCGACAATTAGGTATACAAAATCCTGTATTATACCCAATTAATTCCATGTTACCACCAAAAACACAAATTGCCGTTATAACACTTTATTGTGATAATATTTCCAGAAAAAGAGGAAATATATTCCTACAATTAGAAAAAAATGAATTTTTTTGAAAATAATACATTCTAAGATGTTCGCGAGTCTTCGAATCGTGTTTTATCGAAATTTCTCGATAATTATCAAACCCCGAAAAAACGGACTTTTTTGTGCAGAATTGGAAGTTTGTTTTCCAAAAATACAATGGATGATATAAAAAGGGGTGACTAGGCTTAATTCATATTCACTTTAAGATGGCGGTCGAATGGCACTTCAAACAACTTCACCAATTCAACGAGGACGAGAGAGAAGAAGTATATAACCTTCGTGACTCAGTCTTTTCTTCAAATGGTGAGAAAGATTTAGGACATCCCCCAATGGACGAAGTCGACGAGTATTGTTTCCATAGCTTTGGCTGGGATGAAGATGGTCTTGCTGCTTATTGTCGAGTTATCCATGAAGAAGAAGGTGTATATCGCATTGCTCGTGTCCTTGTTCCCAAGCGAATGCGAGGAAAAGGTTTTGGCCAGAAGTTGATCAGTCATACATGTGATCGAATTAAAGAAGTCTTTGATGGCAAAATGGTCACTTTGGATGCATTAGAAGATATCCATCGAATGTATTTCAAGGTTGGATTCAACTTAACTGGTGCGACCACTGATTTCAATGGCATTCCAGCTGTCACTATGACAAGGAATTTATAATTTGTTTCTAATTTATCTTTCTTTGCATTTCGTTGTTTGTAACAACTACATTAAAATAATTTTATTATCAATATATTGTTTTAATAATATATTTAATAATAAAAATAATAATAAAAATATTTATTAAAATAATAATAAATTTAATAATAAATTTAATTAAAATCAATCAAACTCGGTTATTTTACTTGATCGAAGAAAACAAAAGCATCCTCCGGCGATAAGACGGCTATTTTGTGTTCGTGGTACAGTTGACTCTTCATAATCCCTTTAAAGATCAAGTTGCACATGACAAATTCAAGTTCCATCTCCGAAGACTCTTTCCCGACTTCTTTTAATGCATTTAAAAAGGCGGAATATGGGACTTTCGTGGTATTAACTATTTGTCTGGCTGTGTTAAAGAGATTTCGGTATGTGATCAGCTTGAGCGACTCGACTAATAAAAAGAGGCAATGCTGAATGAAGAACACTTCATTTCTTTTTGTCTCTTTCTCAAATGTAGCAACGTCACCCCGTTGGACTGCGGTTATCAAAGTACCATAAACATCTTCCAGGTTATTCTCTAAAATAAGACTGCGAGGGGGGTATATCCCTTTTCTTAATTGTAAGACAACAAGGGGGATCAAACAATTTCTGTAATTCCGAGTACCTGATTCAAGGTATTGGATCGCATTAGATAAGTAGTTGAACGCCTCCACAGTCATGTTTTTGATTAGCATAGTCACTCCAGCATAGTAATTGAACATGCAGTAATTAATTAATGAAATGTTATTTGTTGTGATGTTCTGTGCCGACGAGATGAAGTTGTCCATCTCGGTGAAGTTGTGGTGATAATTGAGGAAATGAAGAGCAGAAGACACAATGGGGATAGTCGCATTAGTTGCACTGACGTTGACTAATGACAACAAATTTCTGAAGACGTCCAAAGTTGTTGTTGTGATCTCACCGTCGTTATCGCGACCCTTCTGTATGCTCATTTCAATTGTCGCGTCGACAAACTGAAGAAGAATAACAGAAAGTTGGTTGACTACTTGTTGTGGGCCCTGCCCATTTTGGCTCTGCCGTTTTATCTGTTCTAAATATTTATTAATTTGTTGTTTCAGTGCCTCAAGTTTGTCCGACATATACTTAAGGTTTATCTTTTTTAGTTTAATTCTAATTTCTGGATTCTTTTATTTAATGGATTCTTTTTATCAGTTTTTGGCACTATCATTATAATATAAATATTATAATTATACTATAAGTGTTACTTTTAAATAGATGTTTACCTCGTTAAAAAAATAATTCATAAAACTTAATTAATTAGTAACTAATTATTATTATTATAATATTATTACTGTTTTTTTAAACTATTTAACAATTATATATTTTAAATTCAATTAATAGTTATAAAATATAATAAATGAATAATTTTAAATATTAATATAATTAAGTTTTCTTGTTGACTTTTTAGTTGTGGGGAATTAATAAGCCTTTTAAAACGAATTCTAGACTTAAAATACTGATTGTCTTATTAAATTTTTATTAATTATCTTATAGTATTTGTTATTTAATAATATAACTCATTCCATTTGGAGTAAAAGACAATTAATATTATAAATATAATAAAATTAATTATTAACAAAATGATAATTACCAACCGAAGGTTAATTTCCAGTTTCTTAATATATCAATAAATTCAAACCAAAAATGTGATAAGAATATAACCCGATAGTTCACACAAAACAATATATAAATTAGAAAGAATGATAAACAATTTAATACAGTAACACCAAATTGTGGATACCAGTTTAGTTTTCATCACAAAAATAGACTTTTTTCATTTTCCATAACCAAAGAGTTTTTTCAAAGACAAACGGAATTTAATAATTTACAATAATTTACAAGTTCTCGCAAGTTGGCGGTTTTCCTTCAACTAGAATTCTAATAAGAATTTAGCTTTACTCTAGAATATCGTGACCAAATAAAAAAGAAGTGAACTAAAAACTGTGAATAGAAGAAGGTATGAAAGGTATTCAAATTCACAACCAACAGGTCCCTCGTTTTAAACGCCCCACACTACAAAAATATGAGAGTGTCACCACATGTAATCCAGCAAATGGGGAGTTGTTTGTTCTCTTTACTTAGTCACGTTATGTCACAAATGAACATCACACTAAAAAACAGTTTAAAGACGCATGAAGAGTACACCCCAGCAAATGTTGGAACGCGTCTAGTCGATACTCGGTTCAATATAGAAACTCGTCCACTTCAAAAGAATATGTTATTCACCGACGACGGGAAGATCAACTTGAAGTTACTGAAAAACCACTTCCAACGCGAAGGTAAATTGACCACAGAATGTGCATTGGAATTGGTTCAGCGTTCTACTAAACAACTTTCTGCAGAGCCAAATATGTTAGTCCTTGAAGCACCAATATATGTCTGTGGTGATATCCATGGCCAATTCTATGACTTGCTGACTATCTTTGATATCACCAAAAATGACTCCTGTGGGTACCTCTTTTTGGGAGACTACGTTGATAGAGGCGACTTTGGGTGTGAAGTCCTTTTCTACCTCTTAGCACTCAAACTCACGTACCCCGAGAAATTCCATTTACTTCGAGGGAACCACGAGAGTCGAATGATGACGGAGAACATGACATTTAACATCGAGTGTGAGTACAAATACAACTCGACTGAATTACTCCAGAACATCCATAACTTGTTTGACTCATTACCACTCGCTGCTTTGGTCGAGGGAAATGGACTTGGGAGATTCTTGTGTACCCACGGCGGGATATCACCACAATTGCAGACTTTGAAGCAATACGACACCATTAATAGATTCACAGAACCACCAACGTCTGGCCCAATGTGTGACTTGTTGTGGGCTGATCCATTCGACCAAGCACACCCAGAGACAATGGATAAGAGAAGAGTCGACGCTTGGCTCAACACTGATTTTGTGGATAACACGTTGAGACAAACAAGTGTCATGTTTGGCCTCAGAGGACTCCTTACTTTCCTCAACAAAAATGACTTGATTTGCTTAGTTAGAGCACATCAAGTTATGGAGGAAGGGTTCAAGTTGCACTACTTCATGCAGAACATCGATTTGCCCCCATGCATCACTGTGTTCTCTGCTCCAAACTATTGTGACGCGTATCAGAACAAGGCCTCTGTCCTCAAAATTAACACGGAGAATATCTGCTTTGAACAGTTCGAATACGTCGACCACCCATTCAACTTCCCCGACTTTTTGGATTGCTTCAATTACTCTCTTCCATCACTTATGGAAAGTTTGGTATTGGTCCTTTCGGAATTGGTTGTTGCTGTGAAGGAGGAAGACGTCGATAAGATCTCCATTTCCGAGAAGGTTGCCGACGATCAGTTAAAGCAAAAAATCGACGCATTGAAAGAGAAGACGGAGAAAGAATATGAAAGCAAAAAGAAGATGCTTGAGCTGAGAAAGGAGGTGAAAGCGATGAAAACAATCAACAAAGATTGGTTCGACAAAATACTGCGAATCGATCAAGGCAACGAGTGTAGACCAAAGAGTTGCAGGGTCTCTACTAGAGGAGAAAGACCACGTAATGTAAGAACAGTCTCGGATTCGCATATCACACTTGTGGATCAAAAGATTTAAGCAAGCGATTTGTTTGACTTGTTCTATTATTAATTATAATTAATTCAATTATAATTAATTAATAACTTTTCTATGCAAATCAACCAAAATATTATTAGTAAATAATACCATCAAATTTCGATGAATTTTGTTTTACGAAAAAGGGTGTTTTGTTAACTTTTTTTAATTATACATTTATTATATATTTACTATAACTAATAATATTAGTTTCAAAAAATATTTTATTCATAAGGATGCATTCTCATATTGTTTAAGTGTATCATTCAAATTGGTAAATAACAATTAAAATTATAGTACATTTTTTAGTTATGGTACACAATTTGGTAAATAGTTTAATAAAAAGCATTCAATTCCACACTTCTTATTTTATCGAGACTGTTAGAAGGAAGGGAGTAGAATAATAGGAAAAATGAAAACTAAAAGCACATGACGTTCTTGAGCACACTTAAGAAGGTGACCTACTACACAAAGAAGACCAACTTCTTGAGGTACTACATCGGAGGGTTCATGATGAATATGTCAACATATTTTTTCTGGTTGGTTTGATAGTTTTTTTATTAAAACGTCGTTTTTGGTGTTAATGCTTGACAGGGACAGCGTAATTTTGTCACATTATAACAAAAGCTCTGAGACTGGGTGCAATGGGTAAAATTAACAATTAGGTTGTGCCGTTGTTACTTCAAGACCGAAAAGCAAACTCTTTTGAAATAGCACTTTCTTCTGGAATTACATTTGGACTCACGGGAATAGTCTCGCCGTTCATGGGGCTGATCGCTGATAAGACAGACCCTGCCCTAATGTGCCGCATCTCGTTCATTCTGCAAGCAACTTGCAGTTTGACGATTGGAATTATATACATCGACACGCAGTCAATTCTCCCGATTTACTTTTTGTTAATTCAACAGTCCGCTGCCCTTGCTTTTTTCTGGTCGCCGTGTGAGTGTTTAATTACAAACGAATCGTACAAAGGCGAGGAAAACAATAAACTTTCGATCTTTGCGCTTGGTTTGTGTTCTTGAAAATCGATATCATCACAGATTAACAATTAGTGTGGAGTCTTGGTAAAGCAATTGGGTTTTTGTTGGGTGGCACTTTGAAAGTACAACTTGGATCCAATTCGTCGTTGCTCTTGTGTGGTGGTATGACGCTCTTCGCATTCGTCGTTTTCCCTCTCTTCCCGAGCAAGAACAACTTGACAGAGCGGCCCAAGAAAGAAAAAGGCAAGACCGATAAAGTGAAAGAGACAGAGTTGAGTGAACTAGCACAGCGCTCAGATATTCCAGAGGATAGTTCACAAACAGCAAACGAAGAAAAAGTCACATTCCTTCAAAAATTGAAACGTATCAACCACCCCGAACCTCCGAAATACATTCTGTTTTACTTCATCAATGCGCTCATTCTCCATTTCCACGTTTACGGTACGATCGCGATCATTTGCAATCAATACATTCTATTTGCTGTTGACGAAGGAGTGATATTGGAAGGCATCAGCCCAGACCCTGAAGTGTATCTCAGTGTTTTCCTTGGGGTGATCTACTTTTCTCAGACCATCTGTTTCTTAGTGATAGGGTACGTGGAAGTGTGGCAATACAAGATGTGGATAAGCATAGTGATGTCATTAATCCTTGGCGGTGTGTGCATTGGTATCAATTTCATCAAGGTTGGGTGGATCTGTTTGATTTTTGCAGTTCCAACCGGCTTCATCTCTGGTCTTGATTTGCAGATGAATGTGTTGTACTCGGTAAAGGTTTCTGAGAAGCGTAAAGGTCTTATGATGGGGTTGGTCGAGTGTGTAGGTGAGTTGACGTGTTGTTTGTCTCCTGTCATCGCTGGTGCCATTTCCACAGCAACGGATAATTTAGATTGGTCGCAATGGGTTGGAGTGATTTGGACTGGTATCGCAGTGACTGGTTGCACAATCACTTATGTGCTTGATTGTTTTGTTAAAGGGAAGGAGAAGAAGATTGCTGATGATGTTCAGAAGAGCGATGTTGAGATTGACGTCGACACAATTAAGAAAGTTCAAGAGGAGAGGCTTAGCGAATCCAACTCTAGCTGAGTAATTTATTTGCTTATATGTGCTTTTGTTCCACGCTCGTCATTATAGTAAAATTATATCATTAAATATAACATCTCAAAATATGAGTGTAGAGATTGAAAAAAACAAAATGGAGAACCCTTTGAGTGGTGGCGACAAACAGATACCAAAAATAAATTTCCCACACCTCGACAACGGACTTGTAGAGGAATGCATCGCACAGGCAAACGGTGACATTGCAAAGGTTGCGGAACTCCTTGCAAAGTCTGTTGGTCCTCTTGGTTACGACGACGAGGACGGGCTTCTTGAGTACTCCGACGAAGAACTGAGCGAGAGCAGTGAGGACAAATGTAAAATAGAAAATTCATTACCCCCTTCTATCAACACCAAGTGGGAAAATTTAAAGGCAAAGCTTACACCAGAAGAACTTGACGTGATGGAGAATGTCCTTCGATTGAGAATGTATAAAATGTGCGACAGTTTAGTCCAATCGCTCTTTGAAAAGCACTGATTTGATTTTTCTTGTTTTATAATTATATTCATTTAAAAATATAGTTAATAATAATAAAACAATTTAATTAATTTAAAAGTAAATGTTATTATAATTTATAAATATGTTATTAAGATAAAAATAGAAATACATTGACGTTTTCATATTTTATTGTTAAATATATTACAGATAGTATAAAATTTGGGTGTCAAGAATAAATTGGGTGTCAGATTGATTTTGAGTTATTTAATGGTTTTTCATATTTTTTTTGTGAGGGGAAAAAATAAAAAAAACAAAACCCATTTTTTTACATTAACTAATCCCTAATTTATTTGACACCCAATTTATTCCTGACACCCTATTTTTCTACTATCTGTAAACATGTTAGCTTTCTTTTGTGAGTGTCATAGAACTTAAAATTTATTATTACTATTTGGTTTCAAAACTTTTGACGTTTTTGTTATTTTAAGAATATTAATTAAAATACATTTCAGATTATTTTTTGAGGTATGACTTTTCCATTCTATTTGACTATTTTTCCTGAAAAGATGGGATTTTAATGATCATTTTTGTAAGTAGATTTTTCTTGGTCAAGAAAAGTTTAATATTTTTATTTTCCCGAGTTTTTGCTTCAAAAATTTGAAAAAATATAAAAATAAATAGTGATATAATTTTATATATAGTTTATTATATATTAATTACAAACTATTGAGTTATTATTAAAAAATTAATTTTTTGATTTGTGTTATTTAATAACACAAAATAAAAAAATTTTTAGACTTTTTTGCACCCCTTTAGAATTCCAGAAGAAAGTTTTATCAAAAGCTATTAAATTATAACATTTCAATTACAATAATATAGTTTGGTAGAAATAATTATCTGTCTTTGACAAAGCCAAAGTTATGTGGAGTAAGAAATGTTGCAAAAAAGTACATGATGTTTTCTTGATGAACAAGTGACACAAGATTCTAAATGAATTGTTTTTGTTTAACAATAATATGTAATAAAAGAATGAATTTGTCATTCTAAAAAAGTGACGTACAATTACCATCCACAAATTTCCCGTAATTCCAGTGCTATTAACGGCAATATAAATACATTTTATCTTTAATAATAAATTAATAATAATAATGTAATTGTGCATTTTACATCAAACAATCAAGATAGAAAGAGTGGACTTTTTTTGCTGTTTTGTCCACTTTTGCATAACTTTTTCTATCTATTTTTTCTTGGAGATTGTAGTATAAATAGGGGGGTTAACTCTAAATAATAATAAGAGTCAAGATGATAACAACATCACAAACAGACATTTTAGACGACGTGTTACTCTACAGTTACTCCGATTATATTGCTCCTGAAACTCAACTTGAGTCTTTCACTGATTCAGGTTCGCTCGAAACACCACCAACAAGACCTCCTTGCAACACCAAATCCGTTCAGATGAAACCAGTCTTCGCAAACATCGTCTTTTCAGACTATGAAAACTCCCTCGATACCGAAAACACACTCGCAGGTCATTTCCAGAAGTCTTTCGCACATTCATTCTCCTCGTCGTCTTTGGAAAAACTCGGGGAGTGGGAGAGAAGTCAGACTTACTGAAGTCTTGTTATATTGTTATTATTTATGTGTTATTTCTTCTTTTTTTTAATGAGCTTTTTTTTTTCTGATTTTTTGTAATTTAACGTTTTTATTTCCCTCTTTTTACCTTCAAATACTCTGAAAAATGGCTCGCTAATTATTTTTCCATTAAATAGAAACTCGCTTATTAATAATACTTATTATTATTAATATTATTAATACTTATACTTAATTATAATACTAGTAAAAATTAATATTTCTTTCTAATGTCTTCAAATACCCGTCACGCCAACCCGGGCGTGCCATTGTTGGAAAAAAGAAACTCTGAATTCATATGACAGACGTTGAAATCCGCCGAGCTGTTCAACACTGTTTGTTATATCCTGGTTTGCCGTGTTTTGGATATATAACAGAGAAGCGAGTTGTTCCTGTTTCACACGCGCCACTCCTTCCTCCATTTTCGGAAATAATTTATACCGACATTTCTGAGATGGGAGTTACAGCGATGTATGTGGCCGACAATTCTGGCTTATTACCGAAGTCGTTTTCATCGTTTGCTGCGCAGAAGGGAATAGCAATTATTTATGTCGTTTGTTCTTTTTGTCACAAACTATAATTTTTAGTTGTACAAATTATTTAATATAGTTTCATTACAGCTCTTTGATAAGGAGCAACTAATGGTAAGGTCTCACTGTACAACCCTGAAAAACGAATCCAAAAATTCAGCTTGAAAGAAAAGAACTGGAAGAGCGAAACTCTAACAGTGGATTTGACTAACACAGTGGCAGACAAAGGAATGATAGAGTATGAGGCCATATTTGAAGGCTCAAAGTAACTTTTACATTTATTTTTGTTATTCAAAAAACGATGAAAATGTTTTTCTTTTTTGTTTTTGTTTTTTGGTATTCAAATGTTATATTTGTCACTTTTTGAAGTAAAATCAAGTAATCAATGCATTAATTAAGTATCTCAAGATTTCAAAGTTGGAACGATAAAACTGAAAAAGACAAAATGTCGTGGATAAACGAGTCACCATGCCTGAATGCTGATACGGTCAATATTTATATCAACACAACCGGGTCCGAGTTTGTCAAAGGACAATACCAAACAACTGTTATGGGTGATGGAAAAGTCGTCATCAATACAACCAATAAACCAACTGCTCAGCCCTCCATTACCCCAAAAACCACTGCAGTTCAACCCACCGAAAAGCAAACAACCGCTAATATCACAAAGTGCATTTACGACCTTTCGGAAGCTATCAAGCGCATGCGCGCACTTGACGAAAGGACATCTAAGATGATTGCGGACAAACTTGCACAATGCAAACAATACAACGCTCAAATACCAGCCAACGTTACGATTTGATTTTTATTTTTAGTTTGTTTTGTCCGACTTTTTGTTTCTTTGTTTGTATTCAACAAAGAAACACGTGAAAACTATAAAAGTATTAAATTACTTCTCTTTCAACAGATAATTAAAGCAAAAAACATCCGCCTTTCTTTTTCTTCTTCGGCTTCTTGTCTTCGCTCTCCCCGGAATCGGTTGTGGTGTGTTGCTTTCGAATAGATCTAACAAGGGTATAAAACGCTTCTTCGATGTTTAATTTGTTCTTTGCAGAAGTCTCAATATACTCCACTTTGAGTTCAGTTGCTTTCTCTTTGCCTTCCTTCTCGGTGACGTCGCGGTCTTTCACCAAGTCGACTTTATTTGCAACAAACACAATCGGGAAATTCGACGCTTCTTTCACTCGCAATATTTTACTTTGATAATTCTTAATGCTTTCAAAACTGTTTCTATCAGTCACACTGTATACAATAAGAAATCCATGACCGTTTCTAAAGTACTGGTCGAGCATACTGGCATACTCTTCTTGTCCAGCAGTATCTAACTAATTGTTAATAGATTGTTTACTAACAATTATTATTTGATTTCAAAGACGGAGAACAAACAATATCTAACACACAAATGCGATTGTCCACAGTCAAAGTTTTTCGGTAACAATTCTCTGGAGAGTTATATCTTGTACTATTGTTGATAATATTTAGTATAATACATTATAATTGTGTGATATAATACTAATAATATAATACATTTACTTGTTATGAATACTAGACATAACAAACCAATTGTGGGGTCATAATCAACGATGAAATGGCCTTGCGTAAGTTGTATAGTTATAGCTGATTTACCGACACCACCATCCCCGACTAAAACAACTTTGTGGAGCTCGACCTTATACTCGTCATCTCCAGTAGCCATTTTCTAATAATCAGTTCTTTTTCATTTTTTGGGATTCGATGTTACTATGTTCCACTTTTTCATTTTCAAGTGATGTTTATTTCTCGTTAGTACAGAAGTATTCTTGTCACTAAAAACAGGGAATTGGTATTAGACAGTCCCCATTGCCGAAAGCAAGTTGTCGAATTAACGAAAGATCTTCAAATTACTCTTTTGTTTTTCAAGAAAAAGATACTATTGTATTTCAACATTACAAATTAATTAAATTAATTAACCAATTTAATAGGCTTCGCACCTAATAATTTTATTATCAAAATTAGTATCGAAAAACGCTATTAAAACCTTCATTTTTTCTTTCCCGTTTTATTGTTTAAATAACATTTTTGAAACAAAATGGTATATATAACAATATAATGGTGTTTTGAAATGTTTTGTGTGAAAAAATTTTAATTGATTTTATTTAAAATAATAATAATTTAAACAAATAATATTATTAAGTTAATTATAATAAATTAAAGTTTATTATTAAAATAATAAAATTCACAATTGTTCTGAATTGTACTAAAAAAAGTATTTATATCGCCTTGTATTTGAAGAAATCTTCCTCATTTTTAGTGGTAAAAAAACTTTTTTTTTATTTTGTTAATCAAAACTGGTAAAAAATTGTTATGACAGTTTGATAATTTAATTATACAAATAATAATATAAATTTTAAAGCTAATAATTTAAATCTATAATAAAATTTTAGTTTGTTTTTTTTTTGACTCTTCAAGAAAAAAAATAGTTTAAATCAATACTGAAATTAATTTTTATTATGTGAACTTTTATATGCTGGTTGAAATAACATTTCATATATTATATGATACCTTATATTATTATTTATAGTTTTTTGAATGTTTCACACAACTTCCAATGTTTATTTCTGGTTTCTCGAGTTAAAAAATAATAACAATAGTAATACTTTTTATTATAATTAAACTAATATAATAAACCCATTTCAATGATTGGCCAATATCTATGACGTGTTTAGCTTAAAATAGAAAATAAAACCACTTTGTAAAACAAAATAATTGTTAGGACAATTTTGGAAGAGGAGATTGGTATTTACAAAACCGATTTTGTCATTTCTAAAAGCAACTAACTTGAGATCTATGCCATTCACATAACTATAACCGGCATGGCAGTCCTTCCCAAAAATACGCCACATTTAATTAAAAAAATAGTAATTAAAGAATCAAAAAATCATAATATATGAACTATTACTTTTAATAAAACCCATTTTTGGGACGAAGAAATATATTACACTTGTTTAGAAAACTGCGATCAGGGGATTTTACCAAAAATAAAGAGTTAGAAAAATACAATAACAAAGTGAATGTTTTATTTGTGAAAAAGAAATATCGAGCAAAAAATAACAATTTATAATTGATTTAAAAAGACCATCACCTCGGGTATTTTCCAATTAATAAATGTTTTTATTTATTGGCAATAAAACTGTTTTCGATGAAAATAATCCGCTGAAACTTTTGTAAGATTATTTCTTCGTTTGCTAAAAGTGCAGATAAATAAAAAAAGCCATTTTCAGTGTAATTTACACTTTAAAAGAAGACTCAAACAATTATGTAATTAAAAATTGCAATTTTGGGTTAATTATAATAAATTTTTCTTATTCGAATTGGGTTTGAGTTATATAAAGGGGCAAACTAGTAAGTCATTGTTCAATGGGTAACGAAGAGGCTGTTTTGACTCGAAAGGTACAAACACCAAATTCTAGTTCAAAGGAATTAATTCCTGTGATATTTGAGAACACAAGTGAACCATTAACTCCATCAGGAAAAGTACTATTCCATTCACATTCGACTGTAACTCCACGAACTGGAGTTGTATATTCCCCGTCTTATTCTCCAACATCTGGAGTTCTTACACGGTCGAGTTTTGAATTGTTGAATCACCATAAAGGCTCACAAAAATTACCAAAGATGTCGAGTAAAGATGCAAGAAAGAAAAGAGCTCTTTCAGAGCCAAATATACAGCCTGTCTTTGAGAATCGAATGAAGACCACCGAGATCCTCTCTGGATTCATAAAAGAAACGGGATATGAAAATTGTAGAGTACTCTTCTCATTACAAAACAACTCCCTTTCTGCAAGGGAATTCAACGAATGTGTCGGTATGAAAAGTCATATAATGATTCTGGTCAGAACAAATGAAAATGAATGGTTTGGGTTTTACCATGAAGACCCCCTCTGTTATAAACACAACAGAAAAATCGTCAACTCGACAAAGAGCAACTTTTTCATCTTCGGGCGAGACAAGATTATTCGTCCTTACAAAAGTGATTTTAATGCGACTAAGAGTGTTATCATGCACTCCACAAAAGAAGATTCTTTTGTTGTGACTTGTGTTGGTGCATTTTGGGTGTTAAGTGATGGGACAGCTACCGTCCATCCAAGTATAAAGTCAACATATGATATTCCGGAGCTTGTGTTGAATCCGCTCTGTAAGACTACCTGTGGGAAAGCGATTAGAATGAAGCAATTCGTTGCATTAGAATGGTATTGATTCTGTAGATAAATTAATGTTATTTATTAGTATACTTTATTATAAATATTTACTATTGCTCAAGACAAGGAAAAATGATTCTATAGTTAATAAAAAATCTAAACTATAATTAATTCAAACAAAAAGAACTTTGAGTGCATTACCTGATGATTCCATTGAATCAAAACGACCCCACGGGAGCAACTAAAATCATCGACACCGAGTTTTATCAGTCGGCCCTTGAAGACGCGAAAAAGACAAAAGAGAAAGACAAAGATGAAACAAAACAATTTGGGGATCCGGTGATCTCCGTCACTAATATAGAGAAGAAATATGATATTGAAGGACGTGAAGAAGGGGTTTACGCTGTCCGCGGAATCACTATGAATGAAACAAGTGAAATTCTTCCCATTCGAAAAGGGGAGTTTGTGATGCTTCGAGGACCGAGCGGTGGAGGAAAGACAACGTGCTTGAATATGATAGGGATGATCGACAAACCGACAGGTGGGACTTTAACGTTGTTTGGCAAAGAAATTAATGAGAAAACGGCGGAGAGTAAATTAGCGCGCCTCCGTCTTGAGAAAATCGGCTTTGTCTTCCAGACGTACAACCTTCTGGCTACTATGTCTGCGTATGAAAATGTCGAGTTACCGATGCGAATATTAGGCAAATTGAAGAAACAAGAAAGACACGACAGAACAATAAAACTCCTTGAAATGGTCGGATTACAAGATCGAATGAATCACTTGCCCTCCGAACTGTCTGGTGGTGAACAACAGCGAGTGACCATAGCAAGAGCACTTTGCAACGAGCCGGAATTACTTCTGATGGACGAACCAACGGGGGACTTAGATACAAAAAACACCATTGAAGTGATGGACCTTGTCTTAGACTTGAATTTGGAAATGAAGACTACTATCCTGATGGTCACACACAACGCTGATATCGAGTGTTACGCAGACAGAATTATTTATATCCAAGACGGTCGGATCATCAAGCAAGTCTTCAACAAAAAGCAGACCAGACTCGACTACAATGCGTTCATGAAGTTCATAGCAAAACGGGAGAACCAGAATTGAAAGTGCATCTTGTTGAGTTTATAATAGTGTAACAAGTATTTAATTATAGTTTAATTGTAGTTTAATGGTACTTTCCCAAAAGTGCGATTTCCCTCATCCAAACAATGAATTTTCTGCATATTTGGGAATAGATTAACCCTACTGTTACACTTGTGTGGAATCCAAAACTAGAATTACAGAAGAGAAGGATGGAATGGATAAATGTCGATATTGTCAATCCCGGTACTGTGAGTGCATTCACGGAGTACTATAGAGAATTTGTGTGTGGTACATACACGCCTGTACCATCAGAGGAAATTACGATACCAGAAAACATTTACATGATGATGAACGAAAAATTGTGTTGTAAAAACTTGGGGTGGGCAATTTATACGGAACAAGAATTGTATAAGAACCTTGTCAAATTAACGCACAACAAATTTCGAATCACTGTTTTCTTTCAATATGAGCGAATGATGTATCGGGCGTTCGACTTGTTTGCCAAAGGGGTGAATCTGGTGCAATCGTTGACAACCAATAAGTACACCCACGACGGGTTAAAACACTATTTCGACGCTCTGGTGGCAACGTCCATCTTCGGGAGAATCGTTAAAAGCAGAGCGATAAAAGCGTACCGATATATTGAGCAAGAATGTTCGGTCGGGCATATTATTTGGTACCTTTCTGTGTTTCTCGGCAATTGCTCCCGAATCAACTCGATCGTAGATGATCGGTGTCGGGCTTGTTTAGAAATGTACCGGGAGATTGGCTTCAATTTAGTCGTAGAAAAGTTGGTTGAACAGTCTGAGTATATTGCAGTCATAAGCCAAAACGTTGGGTTTGTTACAGAGAATTTTCAAGTTATCAGGAAAACAATTGAAAAGGGAAACGCCGTCGAGTTTTCTTCATTCGAACAAATGTTGCGAACAATGGAGTCTACCTCAAAAAGTACAAAAGGTATCAAAGACGACAAATTTCATACCAATAAAAGTGATTTGCGTCCTAAAGATTTCACTAGGAGTAAACCGAATCAAAAACCACAAGCACAGAAGATTGAGAAGCCAAAGAAAGCACATATAGCATTGAAAAAGAACACCAAAGAAAAAAAAGAAGTAACAAAACCAAAACCTGCGGGTGCAAACAAAGTTGTCTGTAACATTATCACGAAGACTTCAAAGCTCCAAAGCAAGTCGAAGAAAGGGAGTGATAGTAAAGTCGACAAATTACTGATGACGTTGTGAGATGAAGATAGGTGTATTGATTGGTTTGGAGTGCGTTGGTTTGAAGTAAAGTGTAAGAAAGCGATACATTAATCAATTGAGAAAAGTACTGTCAAAGTTGTCTTTAAGTTGTTTTAAGTTCAAGTCGGTGTCTGGGCATATGAAGACGATTTTCTGGAGGGAAGTATACCCATCGTACAAAATCGCTTGTCTGACTGCGGAAAACACCGAAGTGATTCTTTTTGGTAATTCCGATGTATCTAGCTCGTGCATACAAAAGAATAATTCCTGCGTTTTGCACCGATGGAGATAGAAAATGAGATTAGAATAAAACCTCTGGTGTTCTTCTGGATTTTCGAGTACAAATGGTTGGTCGAATTTGCAGTGAACAATAAGATTATAGAACAAGTTCGAGTGCTTTGTGACATAAAAATCCCCACATGAAAGCGATTTGTTTTCATCACCCAAAACGGTTTTCTCTTGATCCTCATAGGACCCGAAGAGCACATCATATTTTGCTAAATTCTTGATATGGACTTGTGTGGAATTGTTATACCTTGCTAGTGAGAGGACAAGCGCACTGATTTTATCATTGAAAAGTCCTTGAATTGTGGCATGTCTGTTGACAGTATTTGATGGAATATCTCTATCTCGAAACAAGGCAAGTTCCGAGTGAAATTCAATACAAATTTTGTTCTGTTGGAACTTGAGTTCCAAGTTAAAGAAGCACTTTTCACTCTCGGGTGGTGGGAGTGTGACTGGGACGACATCTCTTGATGAAAAAGGTTGTACCTGTGTGAGATATCTCCAAAAGAGTATATTAAATTCCTTTGTTGTTTGGCACAAATACTTCAACGAGTCATAGATTTGGAAGAGTGTAAACCGATGTTGTGGGGATTGTGTTGCGTATTGAACGAATAATGGATAGTACTCTTCATATTCCTACTTGTGTTATTTAATTGAATAATTATAAAGTAATAATATCAATTTTTTAATAAATTGAATTAATTATAAAACAAACTTTTTTGGAGCAAGTCTTTGTGTCGTTTTCTTCACTTTTTGACCACTCTTCTTCAACCTCTTTCCACGTCTTAATCTCAACGTTCTGCTCTTCACTCATTATTCACTCACTTTTCATTTTCAAAGATTTTCCAAAATTTTCTAAACTTTCAAAGTTTCTTTATAAATTTTTTCAACTGAAATTATTGCCATCTATATAGTTTAAGTAAAGTTAATTTATAGTTTATTTATTCGTAATAACATCTATTATTAGACTTTTTTTTTTGTAGAAAAAAGATACATTTTTTTTTTAAATTAAAAATAGTAAACCATTAACATTATATAAACTAATTATACACAAACCATTAAAAGTATAGTATATATAATACTAATATAACTAAAAAAGTGAAGTAACTAGAAACATTCTTAAGATTAAACTCCAAAAGCCATACGATGTCATCAGAAGTTCAGTCTGTTCAATTTTTCACGCAAGCGCTTCAACATGAGTGCACAGTGAAATTGAATGATGGGAGTAAATTTATTGGGAAACTCTCATTGATCGATGGGTCGATGAATATAGTTCTTGAAAATGCGGAAGAAACAGTTAAAGGTGTTAAGGTGAATTCCTATCCGCAGTGTTTCATTCGGGGGAATAACAGTTTGTTCCAATTCTTATCAAATGATTAAAAAGTGGTAATGAATGTATTTGAATAATAAAAGTGTTAACAAGAAGTATGCTATATTTCAGTCAATTGAATGGTTTTGAACTGTTTTTGGTCATATGAATAAGTATAACAAATACACAGAGGTTACTTCCAGGACGGAGCAGCCGGCGGCGGGTTATTTCTCTTTTGTTGTCCATACCTCGACTCGTCCATATTAATGAAATACAGACATTCCGTCATACTCTGCATGCGCTCCTCCATTTCGTCGATACGACCTTTCAATGAAAAAAGCATTGTGTTGAGCTGTTGGAGTTGATTAGTAGTCGAAACGCTTTCCTTCTGCAACTCTTCAAGCCGTTGCAGTAAGCTTCGATACATCTCAGCGTTCTCGGCTTCCGCGCGCTTTGGTTGTTGTCTATGGATTTTCGAGAGTAACTCTGGATGTCCTTCTTTGAAGCATGGGTGGTGAAAACACTGTCCGAGGGGGTGGTCGACTTTATGAAACCCATAAATGTTCAATTGCCTCACAAAACTACTGAAATTGGAGTGCTTAAAAAACCTCGGAAGGACGTTTGCGGCGAGTTGTACGGGTTCGAGAACGACAAAGCCTGGTCTGTTCTGTTCGTGTGACCAGCATATCTTTCTGTTATTTTGGTTATTTTTTTGGACTATTTCTTATCGATAAGACATAAAATGTGATGTCATAAACAAACAAGGTCTTTACTCTTCTCGTCATTCACAAGTTCATATAATTTGACAATAAAAGGGGTTGGTGTGTTGTCTGGATTTTCGTTTGGGGTGATCACTTCCATCAAGCAGTGAATGGCTAAGATTGTCCAAATCACTCATCTTCTTTTCGACAGTGTTCTTGGGGTTCGAGAGAATTCTTCGGAGTGTGGAAGTGCTCTTCTTCTTTTTTTTTCCAAAAAATTTTGAGGAAGAAGGTAGTAGAAGAAAAATGGTTCTATTAACTATAGTCTCTCATTCTTTTGATTCATTGATATTTTCCTCAATTCGTAGAAGTATGGAAATGTCAGCGTTTTGTTTTAACAGCTTCGATTCTTTCGGTACAACGGTCGAAGTGCGTCGAACCGCCCTGATTCAAAATCCACTTTCTTTGGAACAATAACTTGGACGTTTTGTTAACTCAAAAGAAACGCGTCGAAATAATTTAATTAGTATGGCGGCTCAACACAGCGCTTGAATTTATGGGATTGCATGCTCTCCTCAACACTCATGTTTTGCGTCTGGTAGAATTCAGATTCACGCGATAGTATTTGATTCTCTTTTAACGCAAGTTGAATTATTTCATCGAGAACTTTGACGTGTCCATCGAGATTTTTGATTTGTGTGTTGGTCATTTGGTTGTCTGTCATTACTGATGTGAGTGATTTTAATTGATCAATAAGAACTCTTTTTAGTTATGAGGAAATGATGTTTTGCGACATAATAATGATACATAACAAAACAAATTTGATCATTTAATTTTGAGAAAATAAGGGTTTACAGCCAAAACACTTATTTCGTGAACAAAATATGAAAATGCCAAAAAATAGATTGAAAAATCGGCAACTACCAAATCGTGGTAAACAAAACACATAAATGAAATTTTATTCTGATTTTGTTTTTTGTTTTGGCGCATAGGCTCTTCGATGATTGTTGTTTGCTTGAGTCAGTGATTGTCTTTTCTTCGAAGTGAATGCCCCACCCACAAAACAAACAACCGTGATCACCACTTTAAAAATGATCAACAACAACCCGACAGGAATACTTATCATAATCCCCAAAATTGCGACAATTGGTAAGTTACCACCAATCCACTCCAAACATTTCATGTACCACGTCGAAAACTCCCATGAAGTTCTTTTAGAAGGAACGTTGAAGTGTTCATACTTCTTTTCGTAGCTCTCAGTGATGTTTCTAACTTTAAGTGCGTTGAACACTTTGAATGCGATGTCTGGCCGATCTGTGATGATTCCTTTTGCATTCAATGCGATTGCTCTTGCCATTTCAAGTTCGTTGTTCACAGTAAAATACATAAATGGCGAGTCCAACTCGTTTTGAAGGACTTTGTACAATTCATCAGCCAAAAAGTCAAACCCTCTCATCGATTTGTATGGCGCAAAGTAGTACTCAACAGGGTTTGGTTGAATAAAGTAATAGAGCCTTGACAGTTTTAACACACCAAAAAGACCCATCATTATGCCTTCAATTTCGTCGTTTTCCGTGCAATAGAAATCACCAACTTTGCTTCTAAAGTACTTTTGCATTGGGTGGTTAGAGCAGTCGATACATACCTGTTTGTTGATATCTTTGTACTTCGACAATATTTCAACCAGCCGATCCACAGATTCCGTTTTCTTGTCCTTCAATTCAATTGACATTTTCACTGGCTTCTGATAGAACTCGTCGAGCATTTCTTCTAAAGTGGTGAATGTAATATTTTTGCCTCTCATTGGGAACGTCACGCCGTCTTCTGTAAAGTAATACCCAACATCAATTTTCTTCAATTCTGCAAGTGTTAAATCTTGTACCTGTGCATTCACATTAGTCGTTCGATTTGTCCAGAAGTCATGAAGCAAAACAAAGTGGCCATCCTTTGACATTTGAATATCACACTCTAACAAATCAACATGGTATCGATTATAACTGATCCGCATTGCTTCCAATGTGTTCTCAGGATATATTCCTCTGCCCCCTCTGTGTGCAACCAAAACTGGGTATTCATCATACACCACTCTATGTTTGGAATAAGCATTCCTTGGTGGGATGATAGCGTTCAGAGCAAACAAAGAGATGTAAAGTATGGCTGTAATGATCAGGACTGTTTTGCAAAACCCCATCATTTTATTTTTTTCAGTTCATTACAAGACTTTTTCAGTTTCTTTTGGTTAGTTTTCGTATATTGTTTTCAAAATTTTTTTAAATTAATTTATTATTCTTTTGCTTTTAGACTATTTATAAAGGAAATAGAATATAAAATTATCCTTTTCAAACTTTATTACTTACTCAAACCAAAAAGAAGTAATAAGTCATTTTTATGTTATTCGTTATACAGAGGTGTTCTTATGTTGTATGTTCTTCAACGATACACCAGTAACACGAACACAACCAAATAAATAATTTATACCGAAACAAGTAAGGAAATTACTTTCGTGATGATACAAAAAACAAATCGTATATTATGGTAAAAATATATTATAATTTATAATATAATAATTATTTAATATAAATTCTAATAAAATACCAAACTTGAAAAGAACTAAAAAAATCAACTTTGAATGAAACGGCAACAAACAGTTCAACTCGCGAACAACTTGTCGATAGAAACAACAGAAGACAACTACCAACCCGAAGTAGTAGACCATTCACTAATGGTCAGTGATGATATTAGTTCTCAATATGAAGTGATCAAACCATCCGAAATGACCGCAAATAGTCATGCAGTATCTGTCTTTGGGTGTACTGTATCGTTCAACAATCCGCTTAAATACATTCAAAAGACATTTGGTAAACCAGTGATGGAGAGGACTGGCACAGTGGAGTTAAATGTACAACAACCCACCCCTGACATACCTCAAACGTTTGAAGAGCGTGAAGACATTTCAACGTACTACAATTGTTACATCAGTTTAGACATTTGTATGGTCTTTGGTGTCATGCAATTGTACCGAGTTTGTAATTAGTTCAGTTAAAAGTATTATAATTGTAAAAACTATAAAAGTACTATACTTATAATATGGTGACTGAAATATAGAAAAGAGGACTTTACTACCTCAACTACATCCCTACGGAAACGGTCAACCACCCAACCGGATTATTCAATTTGATCAATGCAAGATCGTTTGTTGGTGATTTGGAGGCGTACAGATATACAGTCTGTGTGAGCACTTTAGACGACTTTAGACTCTTTGAGGACGAGAATGAAACTGCCACGTACTCGTTGAAATTTGGGAAGAACGCGACAAACGAGATATTCCCAACTTTCAAATTTATCGGAGACCGGGCAAAAACAGAAGTGGAACATCTGATTAACGATTTGAAGAGTGTCGAAACACTTAAAGTAGTGCAGTTTGTTGCTTTCAAAAGGCTTTCTATTATTAACTCTATAATACTATAATTAATTAAAATATAATAATTATAGTAAAACTATAATTGTTACTAATTTAATAGTAAATAAATTATTAAGTAACGTTATAGAGATGCTAAAAATGGGACGAAATTCCATTTGTACCACGTGAATATGGAGAGAGTCAAGTCGGTGATGCTTGGTACTGAGACGCCGTGGGATAAGATGAATCGGCCTGATTTGGTACGCCAACGGACATCGTTGGTCATAACGAATCACATAGAAGGGATGAATGCGTTGTCGATGAAAGTGATCAATTCATTAATGGACAAAGACGGAAGAATATCTGACGAGAACATGGATGTTATTCGAAGGACATTATACTATAGAAGTTGCGAACAAGATGCACGAGAACTAGCGTGGTCTTTATGTTTAGGGTTTTTGGATTATAAGAAGACGCGTGTGGAGCGGAAGGAGGAGGAAGAGAAGAATCTGAAGATGTATGAGAAGATGAAAAGTGTGTGGGAGAATGTGATACCCGAGCAGAAGGAGAATTGGAAAATGTACAAACAAATAGAAGTGCAAATAGATAAAGATGTGAGAAGGACAGACCGCACGGATTCGAAATTCAAAACGTTGGGGTGTCAAAATCTAGTGATTCTCAAAAATGTCTTGATGACGTATTCATTCTATAATATGCGACTCAATTATGGACAAGGGATGAATGATATAGCAGCCGGCTTAATGGATGTAGCGACGAATGAAAACACCCTTTTTTGGCTCTTGAAATTGGTGATGGACTTCTTACAGCCATTTTACTTCTGTGGGAATGATGTCATCATGAAAGCACTGAAGAAGAATGATTCGATATTAAGGTTTGCATCGCCACAATTGAGTGATTACTTACAACAAAAGGATATCTCTTATTTCTTTTGCTATAAGTGGAATGCGCTGCTATTTAAACGGTTCTTTAAGACTGAGGATTTGATTCGAATATGGGATGTTTGTCGTTTTAAGTTCTGTTCAAGTTCTGTGGAGCACTGACACATAGGCCGTGTTTGCATTTCCAACAAAAAAAATGTTCTATTTCATCACTGTTGCTATATTGAAGGAATACACCGATCTGATAATTGCAAAACAGTTGTCATTTGATGAACTCATGATATTCATTCAGACACTCACAGAAAGAATCCCAATCGGTGTCATTTACGACGCCGATGTGCTTTATCAAGAATTCAAAATGACGGCAGACAAAGAACTTGTAAGATTCGTGTATGAAACGTTTAACTACAAACCAGTGTTTTAATTCTATTGTGTGTTGTTTTGTGTTATCAACGCTATTCATGTTCTATAAATATGATTTCATCGTAAATGCCACGTAATATGTCCTATTTATTAATACGACTGAAATCAAAACAATTAAAATCAAATGTTTTCGTCAAATAGAGTCTGGCTTGTCACAGGTACATCACTTGGGTTCGGTAAAGCGTATATTGAAGTTTTGTTGTCAAAAGGGTATAATGTTGCTGCTACTACAAGAACAAAAGCCATCATTGAAGCTGAATTTGGTAAAGAGTCAGAACACTTTTTGCCGTTGAATTTAAACGTGAAAAATAAAGAAGATGTAGTACGTGTTGTATCTGAAGTGAAACTCAAATTTGGTCGTATTGACTGTCTCATAAATAATGCGGGATATGCACTTGTTGGATTTGTTGAAGAAGTTGATGAGTAATCACTACGCGAAGAAATGGAAGTCAACTTCTTTGGTGTATATTGGATGTATCGTAGTGTATTTAAAGTGATGAGAGAACAAAAGGGTGGTATTATTTTTAATATCTCTTCTATAGCCGGGTATGTCCCAAGTGCACTTGGTTCGCCATACTCTGCATCAAAGCATGCAATCACTGCGCTTTCTGGGTGTCTCAACTCAGAAGGAGTCAACTTCGGAATAAAATGTGTTAATGTAATGCCTGGAGGTTTTAAAACCGACTTTTTTAAGAACACATCATTTAAAACAACTCCAGCTATAATTGAAGAGTATGACACTTTGAGAGAAGACGCATATAAAGGACTTTCTCCAGAAAGTATGGGAAAGTTCTTAATTGGTGACCCAAAGAAAGCAGCTGAAGTGCTTATCAAAGTAAGTAACATGGAACAACCACCTTTATATTTATTCCTTGGAGAAGACGCTTTTGAAAACGCGTTGAAACAAATCGAAAAAGTGAAGAGTGATATGTAAAGCACAAAAGAAATGATGTACAACACAAAACTGAATTGAGGGAGTTTATTTTTTGTGAAATTGTTTCAAAAAAATTGTATTATATTTAGTATTAATAAGTTGTGCTCTAAAAACAGTAAATGTGAAGTTTGGTCTTGATTCAAACTACCACAAACGATAATGGTCTTCGTGAAATTTTCAACTCCATTTGCAAATGCTGTCTTTGTGTTTTGTGTTATTGTCTTTGTGTAATGGAATGTTTCCCACCACTGGATTACCTTTCAAATTAATTGTTCCAAATGATGTTTTAAACGTATTGAAAGAATTGGAATCCAACTATGATTATTATATGTTTACTCTTCACGACTTTTGGAATAAAGCCAAAAGAAAAGAGAGTCTCTTTACAGAGAATTTTCATTTGACACTAGAAAATATCAAAAACAATGAAAGGGATATGCAGTTATTTATTACAAAAGCAATTGAGACTGGATATGCAAATATAGAAGAATTTAAGCAATGGGCTAATACAATGAAACTTGTATATAATCTCAACAAAAGAGAATCTGGTTATGGATTTTATTTTTCCCATCTTTTAAGACACATAAGAAATGTAGCAACATCTTCAGCATTGACTGATTTCAGTAAAAACAACATGAAAGCACTTCTATTTCTCGACTTGACTTATTACGAAACAAAGTTGAATGTACTCAAGCAGTTTATATCAATGTTTGAACTTTCAAATGATAAAGAGTGTTTTCGTGCAATTCAAACTTTATCCAATTTTATCAATGTCCTTTCGTTCATGAGAGATAACCACGGCTACAACAAACAAGATGAAGTTCTAAGAAGGATTCGGTTCAACAGAAAATTCCTCCATGCTCCACCCTCTCGCCTTCCTGACCATGTCGAAAAAACAGTTCCAGAAGAACCAGGTTATCTTGCAAGTGCTTTCGACTATGTTAAGTCTTGGATTTGGGGTTATTTGGTTCCACACACAAAACAACAACCATATAAATAATAACACAAAGAATCAAAAAATCAAATTAAAGTGAATTGCAGTAGAATTCCTTATCTCCAACAATCACATCTTTTTCAAATTGGTCGGTATGCTTTGTTTCTTCGTCTTCAAACGCTTTGATGATTGTGTTTTTCACACTTCCATCGAGCTGCGTGATGTAAATCATTAACTCGACATAGTGAATCCCTTCTGTGCATTTGGACACTTTACCACACACCCACTCGAACACATCCCCCAAATTCGCAACATTGTAGTGAATGAGTCGTTTGATTTCAATGACAGTCTCAAACGGGCATTCGGCATTCATCTCATCAATTAAGTCGAAAAATACGAACTTCTCCTTGAAAAATTTCTCTTTGATTTCACTCGCATTCTTCTCAACAAACTTATCAAAGTCCCCAATTTTACTGGTGTAGTTGTTCAATACGTATTTCATTAAGACCTCAGGGGTAACATCCTCGTTAACAACACTCTTCACCTTCTCTTCCACTTCACTCAGTTTAACTCCATTGTTGATTTCCTCAGAAATAATGTCGTACAAATTCTTTTCTTTCTCATCAACAGAGAAAGTCTTTCTTCCTTTCGTTTTAACTTTCTCAACTAAATATTTCTGGTCCAACATGTCGCTCTGAATGCGTCGTGCATCAAACAATGACAGATCGTTGAAAAAGAGTGTCCATAAATAGTCGCTCTTCTTCCCCTTTTTGATTCTTTCGTCAACCTTCCTCCAGAACACATCTGAAAATTCCAAATTCATGTGGATGTACTTCATACTAAAATATCGAGAAAACAAATTTATCGCGTTGATGGTGTAATCTTCGATATTACCAAATATCTCAAATTCGGTTTTGGTAATTGGCATGAACATTTCAGACATGTATAAGAGTACCTGACTAAAACTCGTCAAAAGCATCTTCCCCATCTTCAAAACACCACTCAAGTAAATTGAAAATAGCACATTGCACATATCGTTGTAATTGACTTTATCAACACTCATCGTTTGTAAACTTTGTAACAACAATGGAGAGTCGCTATAATATGCAAAGACACAATCAATCATACCGTCAATAAGCAAATATTTTTCAAACCCCACTTTCACGCTCTTTTCAGTTATTATCTCCATATTGTTTGTCAACACCTCTTTGGATTCAGTGTCGCCATTTGTCGGTTGTTCTTTCTTCTCATTATTGCTTTGTAATTGTTCGTTCTTTGGTGGTTCCTCTTCCATTTTCTTTGGTTCATTATTCAACGTACCTTCTTCCTTCAAAATCTCAGCAAACACAATATCCTTTCCAACCAACTCTGGTAGAACAATAACAGGGATCTCATCGGCTTCCATCTTTTCTTTCAAATTCTCAAACTTCCCATACTCAAACAACTTATTTGTACATTGCTCCTCATTGCACTGAAGATACCCTCTCATCAAAAAGTCCAAATATGATTCGTTGTTGCTTTCAATGATCTTTCCTTTATTTATCTCTCTTTTCTTCTCGCAGTATGTCTTCAAAACACTTCCAACACTCTTTCTAACTTCTTCATCTCTCAAATAGTTCACTGCTATCAACAGTGCTATCGCCAAATAGTCTTTACTCTCACTTCTCTCACCAACAACTCCTTTCACAAGTTCCTCGAAAATGGTTTTCACGCACGCTTTCGACACCATTGTGAGATTCGACAGTTCAGCCAGAAACCTCATTTTGTTTTTGAATTCTCTAAACTCGACTTTCCCTCCATTCCCAAATTCAGATATAAACTTTTTCAAAATGTTGTTCGAACAACTTTTCAATCCATCGTTTTTACTCATCGCGAAGAGTAAATAGGCGTAATTACCTTGTTTAGTCGGGAGCTTTTTGACACATTCAAAAAATTGTGCACTGAATAGCTCGACTCTTTTCTCGTCTGCGATAAGTTCGGTCGCCACCTTCCGAGAACAAAATTCCCTTATCGTCTCGATTATTGACTGAATGTCTGTCCTTATGATCCACGACTCTGTCTGTGTTGTGCTTGGGGACACCGTCAGTTTTTTATCACAAAGACGAACCAGCTGTTGTTCCAACGTCGGAGTGGGTGGTTCGTGATGGTGATGTGTTCGAGGTTTACGTGGCTCCATCATAACAATTTGGTTTTTAAGTTTCCAATTTTAGAGTTTCATTTTTCACTTTTTGGAATATAAAATAGTAAATGTTATGGTTATTTAATAATTTGTTATCAACTAAGATTTTATGGTTTAATGGTTATGTTATTATAGCTTGGTGTATAGTTTGTCATTTTTGGTGGTAGAACGACCGAGCGTTTAAGGAAGGAAAATAAGAGGTGAGCAGCCTGGAAATGACAACTACGTTGAGAAAAGAGACGGTCTTCGAGAGACCGTTCGATTTGGTAGTCCAAGTGTACCTCTCGAGATACCCAACCACCGAAGACTTCCCGAGGCTGCTCGACCACCAAATAAGCAGAATTAAGTGGGATGTCGACAAGGGCATATTCTTGTGTGACAAAAGATCAACGATGTCGGTGCCAGTACCGAAATTGCTGCAAAAAATATCAAAGGTTGACCACATCTATATATACCAAAACCTCGAAATCAACATACCAGAGAGAACGATGAAAGAAGACTCGTGGAACAGGGCCGACGCGAAAATGTACAGGATGAACGAAGACGCAAATTGGAAAGGTTGTGACGGAGAGAATGGAAACGAGTTCACAAAGTTTGTCGAAGAGTCAAACGTAACAGTTAACGACAAAGTGCCCAGCCATGTTGTCAAAATTGTGATGAAAAAAGTACAGAAAGTGTTCGAGGAAGGCTACCAAACGGCGCGTAACGTGGACACCGTCTTGTTTCAGAAGTATGAAAACAACATGTTACCAGTAATGGGGTCGATACAAGATTTCTGCCTAAGGCAAATTAACCACCAAAATCTCGACGTAACACTTGACTTTACCCAAAGCTTTGAGCATAACTTCGAGTTGTCGCACCACGAAGGAAAGTTTATTTGACACGGTGCTAACTGTTGTTTCCAGTAATTTGTGTTTTTATTTCCATTTGTCTTCGTAACAAGAAAAAGAGAAGTACTTAAATGTTAAACATTCAAAAGTCCAACACTGTTATTTCCTTCTCCAATTTCGTAAATAAAAGTTTACGAAATTGGGTTTTTTCAAAACGTTAAGTAATTTTGGAATTTCAAGTTTTTAAGTTTTTTATTAAAATTATAATTATACCTTATCTTAGTTTTTATTTAATAAAAACTATTATTAAACTAATATAAAAATAGTATTTAAATTATTAAAATCATGTTTTAATTTGACAATATCAAATAATATTATTATAATACAAATTATTATTAAATATAGTTTTTTTTGATATTTCCAAATTCCTTTTTCTTTTGTTTCTTTTTTGAATTCTTTTTTCGAAATGTAACTTCTAATTAATTAAATGAGTGTTGTGTGTTTTAAGTGCAAACAATCAATAGAAGAAGGGATAGTCATAAGTGCCTGTGGAAAGACGTACCACCCCTCACACTTTCTATGCAAAGGGTGTGGCGGATTAATGAAAGATGGGGAGTACCAAGAAATCCGTAAGAACCCATATTGCATCGGTTGTGCGACAGCGATGGGAGCCGTGAAAGTTCAAACATGTTGCAAGTGTAACAAAGAGATATACGGTCGTGTCATTGATGTTGATACCAAAAAGTATCATCCAGACTGGTTTGTACTTTTTATATAGATCTATTATACTATTAATAATATATATAATATTAATAACATTAATACTATTATATCATTAAACAAATGAATGACATTCAGCTTTGTATGTGATGGGTGTTTAGAACCGTTCAACTCGAGTCGATATTATCCGAAAAACGGAGAAATCTTTTGTGAGAAATGTTTTGTCGCCAAAGAGGGTTTGGTATGTTCGAGTTGTGGGAATGTAATTGTTGGGAAGTACAAGAGATGTGGGGACAAGAAGTTCCATGAGACTTGTTTTGTCTGTTCTGTGTGTGGTGATAAGTTAAATGACAAATATTATATAGTAGGCAATACCTTATATTGTCAAGATCACAGACATCGTATGATGGGGTACAAGTGTGGCTTTTGTAATGAATTAATCGACCGAGATGACTCGACTGCTTTAGTAGCACTTGGTAGAAAGTGGCACAAAGATCATTTTTTGTGCGCAGAGTGTAAAAATCCATTGAACGTACAAACGGCACGAGTGTATCTTGAGAAGGCCTATTGTCCCATATGTTACAATGGGATCGTAGTGACTCGTACCATCGAATTAAAGTGAGTTTACTAATAGTTTTCTTTATTATTTTAATACTATAAATTGTTATAATTTTTTTATTATTAACAATACAAACTTAAAATAAACAAGAAACGTGTTAATCAATACAAATAACATCGTCATCGGCATACGTCAAGTCGCAAATATTATGACTGTTTTGTAACATTTTAATTTTATTGACTACATTTCTCTTGATCAATTGATAGGCAAGGTCATTTGGATGTGAAGTTAAATACTTGTTAACTCTCCCAAGTCTATTTTGATATACCCCCAGCTCTTTAACCCTATTTGAACTTCTATAAATGGTTGGTCTGTCTTCAAAAGAGTCTGGATACTTAGGAGGAACATCATCTTGATATTGAAAGGGTTCTGGTTTATAAGCTTCAATTCTCTTCACTTCTTTCTCGTTGAATTGGAAAGAGTGGTCTTCGCTTTCTGTTTCATTTAAATCCAATATTTCAGAGAGGATCCCTTGAGCTGGTTGATTGAATTTATCGACTGTTGTTATTGATGAATCTGAATTATCTGTAGTGAATTGTGTGTTTGAATACAATGTTTGTTGATGTGTATTAAGTGGGGTGCACACGTTATTAAAACACATTTGATTTCTTGGTGTAACGGGGGGTTGAACATGTACTGTTTGTGGTGCAACAGGTGTAATGACCGTTGGTGTTATTGGAGCTTTTTGAACCAAATGTATATCATTCGTCAATGTGTTTTGTTGTGTTATTTCATTTTGAGGGAGTTGTCCCGCCGTGTTAGTTGTTATGATTGGTGTCATGCAGTTAACCATTTGTTGAGGAGGATTAGTATTAATCAACGTGGGGTGTTTAGGAGTTTCGAATGTGTTATTTGGTTGATTCAAAGTATTTGAAAGAACTGTCTTTTGAACCACCTGAGTATTTGCCTTTATAGATGGTGCATGTATTTTCGATGGTTTTAAGATACTATCAGTGATGTTTGGTATAGTCTTTGGGGGTGTCTTTTTCAGCAATTTTTGTGGTGTTTTGTTTTTCAGAGCGTTCGCAGACTTCGTTGGTTTTGTGCTTTCTTTCAAGACATTTGATTTTCTTTTCTCTTGTAAGTCGAGTTGTTCTGAAACAGACAAAACTTTTGGTTGATGCACTTCTTGAGTCTTACTTAATTGTTGTACCTTATTTAAAGGTAAATGATTAGTTCCTATTACTTTTATTTCTTTTCTCAACACTGGTTCTTCTGGTACATATTTGATTCTTTCTGGTGCGTTAATGTTTCTAAGTTCGTATTTGAGCAATGCATAAGAAATGGCGTCGATTGACAAGTTAATATGATCTTTACTAATTCCATCGGCATAGAGTCGATAAATAAAAGACAATCTAAATTGGTCCAGTGTGGTATATTTCCGTGCTTCTTGTGACAAATGATAAAATGAAGACTGTCTGATTTTCCACCAATCAGTCCAGTTCTCAATTTTCTTGACTTCAATGTTTAAATAAGCATCCATTTCCTCGTGTGGAATAGCAGCAAAATCATTTCGAAGTAGTTCGAGTACCGTTTTTTTCAATAACATCTCTTTAGCATACGGATGTAAGAAAATGGCTTTTGTGAGTGCGTTGACTTTTTGGAGATCCAATATTTTCTCTATCGCATGTTTCACAGTGCCTGCAATCTCCTCGTCTTTATTAGCATCAGACAATTTAGCTACTAGCCCAAAGTCGTTTTTAAGTTGTGCTGCCTTAAAAATGTACGAGCAAAAATCGCCAAATCCACTCTCTGTTCTGGACCAATCGATCTTTTGGCCTGCTCGGTTGTTCTCAGTCACTGAATTTTTCACCATCGAATAGATTGTGTTGATCGTCGAATATGGTGTAATTTGCTTTTTAACGGAAGGATATCGTTTTTGGGGTTTCTCCGTTACGTCGTCGATAACAAGTAAAAACGTTGACTTTGGTTCTATCCCAAACTTTGTCTGGATGTCTCTTAAAACGTCGTTGGTGTCTCTCCCATTGATAGCCTCATAGCACACAAACTTTGTATAAACGTCGAAAGAGTCATCGACATATGCAGCTGTAACTATCAGTGCCTTTTCAGTCTGTGTGACGATGAGACTATGTTTTAAATCATGCCTTTGGAGTTGTGACAAGTATTTTTCTTTACTTTTTTCGATGAGTTCTTTGTATTTCTCTGGGGTGTATTCTTTGGCATATTTTAAATACAATTCGTTTGTAGTGTTCTTTGCCATGTATTCTGCTGTTATTGAGTTGTCTAACACCAATTTTTTTTTATACTAAACTCAAACTGAACAAATCCTATTGTTATAGTTATTCGTACTATTTTCATAGTTCATTCTAGTAAATGTTTTTGGTATCGACTCATTGCTATTCATCCAATGTAATAGTAATAAAAATAACAATTTTTCCATTATTTAACTATATTTCAAAATAACACATACCCTTTTCATTATTTGAAGAATTATTGTATTATAATAAATATACAATTAAATAAGCTATAAAACAATAATAACTTTATGAAAAAAATGTCATACAAACAGTTTTCCACAAAATGCGGACTGTACGAAAAGACAAAAAAAAAAATTAGGTTTTTCAAAGGGTTGTTTTATAATTCAGACAATGGACTCCAACACAGTGTCACCGAACTTGCTTGAGCTTACTCGAGCTCATGTGGAATCTTTTGACTACTTTTTAGACGAGGGGAAAAATGCCATATTGAAGACGATTCCCCCAATGCACATTATCGACCCAGAGAAGAATGAGATCATGACAGTATCAATCAAAACTATTACCATCGACAAACCCATGTTCAACGGGAAACCCCTTTACCCATTCATGTGTCGTACTGCAGGCTTAAGTTATTTGGGAGCCCTTCACATCGTCTTTTCAGTCATTCAAAATGGTATAGAGAATGTGTTTAACGTCAATGCTGGGGAAATTCCAATGATGCTTTGCTCAGACAACTGTTGGTTAGGTACTGATTTCAGAACACCACAAGACCGCATTGATATTAGAGAAGACCCCCATGAAATTGGTGGCTATTTCATCATCCACGGTGTCGAGAAGTACCTCAGAATGATCCTTTACGCCAAACCAAACCACCCAATAGCTGTCGCACGTCCTTCATGGGAAGGGAAAGGTGCTCATTTTACGAAGTATGGTGTAATGATTCGATGTATGAGGAATGATATCACCACCTTGACGAATACAATGCATTACTTAGACAATGGGAAGGTCTGTGTCAGATTCATTTACAGGAAACAAGAGTTTTTCATCCCCATCATCTTGTTATTGAGGGTTTACACGGGGATGTCTGATCGAGAGATATTTGAGTTGGTGACTATGGGGAATAAAGAGAACTCCAATTTGGTCAATGCTGCCGAGCTTTTAGTGCGACGAGAGAGTGGCAGTATCTTAAACACGTTGAACACAACAGAACAAATTTTGGCATTTATTGGACAGAAATTTAGGGTTGTGATGGTGACGGGGGCTGAATTGACTGATGCACAAGCTGGGAAGTATATACTTGATGAATTCGTCTTTGTACATTTAGACAGTTATGCTCAGAAAGCTGATTTGTCCATTTTCATGTTACAGAAACTCTTTGCCTTTGTCAATGGAGAAATCGATGAAGAGTCTGTCGACACTCCAATGACACAATCGATCTTGTTAGCTGGTCATTTGTATCAAACTGTTTTCAAAGATGAGCTCAATTCGTGTTTAATGAGGATCCGGATGATGGTTCTAAAAGACTGGCACAATGAACGAAAGCGGTCGAAATTGACTGAAAAGGGTGTTCAATCGAGGATCATTGAAAGTGGTGCGAACGGCCTTTCGAAGAGGATGCAAACATTTATTGCGACGGGTAACTTTGCGCCAACGGGGACAAACGATTTGCAACAAGAGAATGGCTTTTCTATTACCGCAGAACGTCTGAACCACTCGAGATTTTCAAGTCACTTTGTATCCGTGCATAGAGGTGCCTTCTATACCACAATGAAGACTACTGCTATTAGAAAATTAGTTCCTGAGTCGTGGGGATTCATGTGTCCCGTTCATACGCCTGATGGAGCTCCATGTGGGTTGTTGAATCATCTTGCGTGCAGTTGTAGGATTAATGCTCGCTTCCATCCTCTTCCCGATGAGACGACTATTCGACTTTGTACACAACTTGGGATGATCTCGTCACAATTTATGACGCTGCCATCTATTTATATTCCAGTCTTGATGAATGGGAAAGTTATTGGAAAGGTAGCTCCTCATGATATCAATGCATTTGTACAGAAATTGCGATATGAAAGAGCAATGAGCAACCCGATGTTACCAAACACATTGGAGATTGGGTACTGTGACGGCTATTTACACGACGGATACCACGCGCTCTATTTGAATGATATGCCGGGCCAAATGGTGCGACCTATTCGCCATCGATTGACGGGGAAAACGGTGTATATTGGGCCATACGAACAAGTCTTTTTGGACATCAAGTGTGGGAATGCCATAGAAGGGATGGACAAATCGGAGTATGAAGAGATCTCCGAGATGAATTCATTGTCATTACTTGCGACAACGATTCCGTTCTGCCACATGAATCAGTCACCAAGAAACATGTATCAGTGCCAAATGGCCAAACAGACTATGGGGTTCCCTATGATGGCGTATAAGTACAGATCGGACTCCAAATTGTTACTCCTCCACTACCCACAACGGTCTTTGTGTCAATGCACTTTAATGGAACCGTTTGGATTCAATGAGTTGCCCACGGGTACTAATGCTGTTGTTGCAGTCATATCATACACTGGGTATGATATGGAAGACGCTTTGATCATTAAGAAGACTTCAATTGAGAGAGGGTTTGGGCATGGGAGTCAGTACAAAGCGTATAAAATCGACCTTACTAAAGAACAAACACAGATGATATCCGGGCTGAACCCTAAAGGGGAGTTGTATGACGAACACTTGGACTTTGATGGTCTTCCACGCCCTGGTGAGATCTTTGAGAACTCGCCGATCTATTCTGAAATTGATAAGATCACGGGAGTAGTCAAGACTAAGAAATTGATGGGAGAGAAAGGATATATTGAGAGCGTCACTATTGTGGGGAACGATAAGAAGGAAGCGGGTCAACAACAAGCCGTTGTCCGAGTGAGATACAACAGAACGCCAGTGATTGGAGATAAGTTCTCCTCAAGACATGGACAGAAAGGAACGTTGTCTGTGCACTATGCTGAAAAGGATATGCCATTCACGGAGAGTGGAATGACACCAGACATTTTAATTAATCCGCACGCTTTCCCGTCTCGTATGACGATTGGAATGTTGATTGAAAGTATGGCGTCGAAAGTCGGGGCTTTGAAAGGGGAATATCAAGATGGTACGCCGTTCAAGTTTGATGAGCAGAACAGAGCCGTTGAATACTTTGGGAAACAACTGTTGAAATATGGATACAACTACTACGGAAGTGAACCAATGTATTCGGGTATCACAGGAACAGAAATGCAGACAGATATCTATATTGGCGTTGTCTACTACCAACGACTTGTCCATCAGGTGAAGGATAAATACCAAGTCAGAAGCACTGGACCAGTCAATCCTTTGACACAACAGCCAGTTAAAGGAAGAAAGAGAGGTGGAGGAATTAGACTCGGGGAGATGGAGAGAGACTCGTTACTTGGACACGGAACAGCTGCGTTGGTTGAAGATAGATTCTTACAGTGCTCAGACAAGTCGTACCACTACGTCTGTAAAAAGTGTGGATCAATGGTCTCCATCTATAAAAACACGGAGTTGGATAGAATGGTATGTGCGTCGTGTGGCCAAAATAGCGCAATCAAAAAGATCCAAGTGCCTTATGTCTTAAGGTACTTGGCTTCGGAACTTGGAGCAATGAACGTCAGACTAAGGTTAAAGACTGCAAATTGATTGATTCGGTTGACTAGTTGCTTAAGTATAACTTATAATAAAATTAATTATAAAGTATAGTTATAGTGTCTATAGATATAAAACATATATATAATAATTGGTTCGAATATAATTGTTATTTCTAACACAATTTAAAAGTATAAAAATGTTATTCAGTGTGGCAATTAAATAGTAAAATTATTATAAAATAATAGATAAGTAAATCAAATCAGTGGCTCCTTTTCATCATATTCTGGACTCTCCTCATCACCTTTGGGTACTTCGTCGTCTTTTCCTTCTTCCTTTTCTGGCTCTGGTGGAGGATATTTGAATAATTTTTGGATCTTAATGACACGTGTGTATAACAAGAAGCCTCCCGTCAAAAAGATGAAACCAAAGACTTCGATGAAAGTGAACCAACCGACCTTCTCTCCAATTTTTGGGTCGACGACATAATACAAGAACACGGAACAGATCCAAATGGTAATCATTCTCATTGGTTCCATCACATTTCTGACCATTGCATTGACATAGTCTGTAATCATCATTCCAGAGTAGTTGAACATTAAAATAGAGATGACATATCCGACAGTGATTAACGATAAAGAGAGTGTGTTACCTAACATAACGAAGGTGTCTTTAGTGTCTTCTGCAATGACTTCGGGCACCCAAGACATCCCCATAATAGGCATCATAATAGAACATATAATCAGTCCATATAATCCTTCAAGCCCAACTATGAAAGTAACTGGAGCTTTAATATCATGCAAGAACTGTTCTTCTAATATAGTCTGGAAGGCTTGTAAGAACTGCGCAGCCAAGATCAGTACAATACCAATCAATGTGAAGTACCAATCATATGTGTCATTACTTCCTGAACTTGAAGAGTTCGAACTTGTGTCTGGTTGTGCACCGGGACAAAACGCAGCTGTTCCAATAAGACAGAGAGACACGACGATGATAAGGACGCCTATAATCTCAAACATGTACATCTTCTGCTTCCGATAGAAAACAGCCAAAATAGCAGTGAACACTATGATCGACCCTCTCATCATTTGGAAGATACTCGAGGAGACCCAAATGAGTCCAAAGTTCATCAAATAAGTCGCCAAAAAGTCGCAAAATGCCGGAATTAACATTAATAAATATCCCTTCCAATTCATCGACTCCTTCTTAGTCTCAGTTTTCTTGAATAAAGGGAGAACGTAGAACTGGAAGAAATAGATAAAGAGACATAACGTCATCCCTAAAAACATCGCCCAATTCAAAAACAAGGGTTTCTCAAATTTGTGGATATCCCCATCAACACCTTCACCTTCTAATTGATACGCAGTCTTCGACAAAATAGTTGTGGCCGTACCCGTTAAAAGGAATACGGTGATAACAACAGTCATCACTAAGTATTTCTCATAAAACAATTCCCACAGCTCCTTCGTCTTTTCAACAAACCCCATGGAATTTTTCAGTTTCATTCATTTCGTGTTAATAAACACTACGTAACCGTTGAAGAAGAATTGGGGCATTCGATGGTACTCGACAGACATCCTCGTGTATTGTTCTTTATATGGTTTATTATAGTTTATTAATAGATTATCAATTTGTATATTTTTTAAGTGGTTTAAACGAATAGTTTAACTTTATTATAGGGGTTAATTTTGTTTGATAATATTTATAGAAATATATTTAAACTAAACGATATTATAAGTTTAGTTAAAAAGTTCTTTTTTATTATTAATGGTTTAATTATAATTTGTTTAATTAAAGTTCATTAAAATTTGGTTTATATTTTTCATTATTATCAAAAAACGAACTTTCATCTGGAAGTGAATTTTATGTTGTTTTTTCTAAAAATAAATTTATTTAACAATATAATAATTATGTTTTAAACATTGGAAATATTTTTTAAAAATAATAATATAATAATATCATTCATCCATATTATTGATATTTGTGTATGAAAGTTGAAATTACAAAATTAAATAAAGTTTATAAATTTATAAAAAAAATAAATTATACAACCAATACCGCCGAAGGTTCAATTCCGTCAAATAGCAACCACAATAGCCAATTACTTTCTGCATTCCAATATTTTCCCTAAATAGTAAAGAAAACCAGAGCTATCTGTCTCAGTCGTTTTGTGCGATTTAAAAGTGCGATAAAGCAACGAATGAATCCAAAGAATCATATGTGTAAATAATGTACAGTCGACTCGATACAAGTACATATCCATTCCAAATTGACATTTGACCACGACACATCATTCACCTCCCCTTGTGACGTGAAGTCTGACAAGACATTATTTCCAGGATTGATATTCCATATCAGAACTTTATCGCGAGCCGTTGCGATACAGAGTTGGTCAGCGCTTTTCGAAGACCATTCAATGGAATTAACGACGTTGTCTTGTATTTTGAGATGTGTAAATGCCTCTTTGGGCTTCCGCATGTCGTGGATGTATATCCTATCACCAACATCGGAGAATGTTGCGATCTTGGTTGAATCACAATATGACCACTTCACTTGCATTAAGTCTTCCTGTTCTTTTATTTCAAGTAACGTTGCGGGCTTGTTAAATCTGATGTCATTGATCTGTAACGTCCCACTGTTACACGCGAGAAGAAAGACATCGGGAGAATCGGGGCTATATCGCATGTCGTTAATCGCAAAGTGTTGGTGGAACGCACAAATCTGCTTGTTCTGTTCGACACTCCAGACAGACGTTGTGTTGTTTAAATACCAAGTCGCGACAAGGTCCGGGTTCACTTTGCTCCAATCTAAACCACAAGAAGGGAATTCATTAAATTGCGAATTAAAGGTCGATAACAACAAAATGTCATTTGTTCTTGATATCGAAAATAGTTTGAGTGCGTCGCCCGAAACCATAAAAGTGTCGGTACATTGTGTAGGTTTTGGTGTGAAGTGAATTGAAGTTGGTGTGAAAGGAAGGTCTGCCGGAGCGACTGACGCTATTTTTGTTAAGGTTTGTGTTTGTGTGTTAAAGTCAATCAGATGGAGATGTGAAGTATAAGTGTCACTGAATGTCGAAAAAATTGATCGAAAAGGATTTTGAGGATTATTGGACCAAATAGCGTTGATCACTAAAGAGGGGCTAGTGAAAGAAACATGATTTTGTTTTGGGTTGACAACCCTCATTTGATTTTCGAAGTAATAAATAATTTTTATTTATATATTGTTTTTATCGGAGTTTGAATGAAAATTAATAACTATACTGCTTCTATAATTGTTTAAAATAATTTGTGTTATTATTTTTTATAATTACTAAAAAAAATATTCAAAAATTACTAAAAGGGATATAAAACAGCTTCCACTTTTTATTATAATTTTAAATTATATTAATATAATAATATGTATGGTACTGTTTACCATGAAGGCTGAATATGCCTCGTGGAGACGTTCTCTGTCAGAGGTAGTAATTTGTATTATACTTTTTATTATAATTTTATTAGTTAAAACTATTAAAACTATAGAAAGCTGTAAAAAGATGGAAGCAGTTTTTTATCCACCTATTAGCATTTTATTACTTATTTAATTATTTAATTGCATTTTATAATTTAATAAATAATAAACATTAGTTATTTTTTTATTAATAATTAATACCACCCCTAAAAAATTATTTTATTTGTTTTTTAAAAATTAAATTAGAAAAAAATAGTTTTATTTTGTTATAAATTATTTTACTTAAACAAAATGGGACCTACATTGACCACCACCACCTCTTAAAATAGATTTATTTTTTCTATTTCGAATCATATTCAAATTAAAATTATAGTAAATAGGAAACTGGGATAATATTAGGTCTGGTTCCCGAATCCAAAAAATGCCGAAAATTCACCTCGAGTCAGTGGAAAACGAGTGAGACGGAGCATTGAAAAGAAAACTCTAAAGACACACTCAAACAGTCTGTTTGTGCACCGTTTCACCCACTTTCCAAGTCCTCCCTTGGCGCGGATCCCCCTGACCCCCCCCCCGCAAGCGGGGGAAACCACATCCGCGTCCACACAGTACGGACAAGGAAAGTGGGCGACATGGGGACGCACAAACAGTGGCTGAAAAGTGGACTCCCTTCAAAAAACACTTGCGGCAAATATTTTTTTTGGTAAAGGTGGTGGTGGTCAATGTAGGTCCCAAAAAGTTATATTATTGAATTATAATATAGTTTTTTTAACTAATTTTTAATAAAAGTAGTGATCTAGTTTTGAATATTATTGAATTATAATACTTTTTTATTATTAATAATTTTATTAATAAAAAGACAAACAAAAAAAATATTGGTTTAATCGGCATTTGATACATCATTAAGCCATAAAAATGTATATCGTCTTAATTAAGAGGGATACTTTGGATGATGCACCAAATACTTTAAAATGATGTAATGAAAAACAAATTGTAATTAAAAAATGAATTTTGTGAATTAAAAGAATAGTAAATTATATTATAAGTAATTGTAATATTGAATGAATAAGAATAAAAAGATTTTTAAACAAAGGGCAATTTCAAAACTCGATTTCAATAAAAAGAACAAAAGCCATAAAACAAAATTGCTGTTTTAATAATAAAATACGTTTTTTAATAATTGGTTATAATTAAACACTAAAAAACAATAAAAAAGTTATTCAAATGGAAAAATGCCAATCAAAATGTCAATCTTGGCATAAATGAGTTAATGAGGCAAAACGATAAGGTTATTTGGGGCGAAAAAAAACAGGAGTATACGTGTAAACATTTTTACTCCTTTAGCCCATATCCCAAAAGTGTGTTCTGTCTATTCGGCTGATTACTCTTTTGTGAATAAATGTTGGAACTGGTTACCAAAGACCATCATGCTAAAGAACCCCTTGCTTTGTACAAAAGAGTTGACACTCATCAAACGGGAATCAAAGTCATACGAAGCAATCCAACAAGCTGGTGTCATTGCACTTCTTGTTTCAAATGGTGTTACTTTCCAACTCAACAGCCCAATACGTTTTGCGCCAATTGCCATGCAGCTGTTTGTTGTAAACGATGTTATAATCGACGGTGAGTCCTTAAACTTTGGTAAAATGGTGGAAGAACAATGTAATCAACGATTCAGTGCTGACTCCACTGAATTAGAAAATGTGGAGGACAAGAAAAAGTTGTTAAAGAACATTAAAAGAAGAAAAGAACTTAACAGAGCGGCACTGTCATTTAACAGTTTAGTTTCCATCGCAGAAAGCTTCGGTTATCACTTTGAATTGAAACTTATTAAAAGTGCAAAGAAGACATTACAAATGACCAAGATCAAAAGCGTTTTCAAAGAAGGCAGAATCTTTCTTGATGAAAAGGCATTTACTGAAATAGGGAACGCTACAAATAAGTACATTACAAGTCTTTGTTCAAAGGACAAATACTATGTGAAAATCAGTCCATTCGACAAAAATATAATAAATTTGATCAACCCAAAAACGAAGCCCGACCATGCTCTCCCCATTGAAACAGTTTTGTCCACAGAACGGTCCTCAACTGTTTCGACCCAGAGCGAACAGACACTGAGACTGTTATTTCCTTATCAGGAACGGTTTGACTCAAAGAACGAAGTGGCTACATTTAAGACTGTGGAATGTACAGAACATGTTACAGACCATCCTAATAGAGTGGATTACATAAGTGTAGGTGATGTAACTAGTGTAGCAAATTCAACGCCCAACTTCGAATATATTGTAAACGACCAAAAATTCGAAGATTATGTTGGTGAAGTACAGCCAACAAACTGTGTTGAACCTATAAATAGTGTTGATTATACAGATACATACAATGTACCGAAATGTATAAGAAATTTGAGACCCATAGAACAAATGGGATATACAAACACAACAGACAGTATGGGTACAGTGTCACAAATTAACACACTGAACTGTGTGAATGATACAGCTTTAATATACACTCCAGTTAATTCTTACCTCAGCACGGCTAATTGTCACAACACAATCAACACTTTTCAACCAAAACCACTGTTGTTCAATCCAACTATATATTTTCCTCCATCCAAACCGTCCAACTTGGTAATGGCACCACAAATCAATATGTTTTGTCCCCAACACCGAGTCTATATCCCAAAACACGGGTTGACGTCTGCGCTTGACATGTAATTTATGTTTTTATATTTTATTTTAAAGACTCGCATTGGTTAGACATACTCAAACAAACTTTTTAAAAATCAAAAATTGACACATGTTCCAAAAAAGATAACACAAAATAATTTCATAATATAAATGATTATTTATTTAAAATGTTGACCCATTAACAACCAACAAATAAATGATATTTAGAAAATGGTTACATTTTCAGACTTGTGAAAACTTAAACAAAAAATAACATCGAAACAAGTAAAACAATAATTTAGCAAAACACATATTAAGTCGACTTCAAATGGTCTCCAAGTCGGAAAGTAACAACGCCATAAGCTCGGTGTCAAACTTTTTAAGCACAACCGTTTTGCTATTTACATTTTCGCCCATTCTTTCAACGAAAACTTTGTTGAGTCTTGCGCCCTTCTTTGATATAGTTTCTTTGTCAAAGACAAATCCATCAAACTCAATAGCCACAACCCACTTTTGTTGAGCTTTTCCTTTTCTATTGACATCCACTGTGTCCACATTGAATCCATTGGCTTTGCACAAGTCAATTAAATAAGCGAGGGGGTATGTGACTTTATACGTTGTTTGTCGCCTTGAAGCGGTTTTCTCAGACACTCCATTTGCCAAGTCTTCATAGTAAATTTGCTTCATCTTCTCTTTAGTGTCTTTCATGACTTCGAAAAGAAACTCATCGTTCTTAATATGAACAATTTTGAAGAGGGGAAGTGAGCTTGTGGCGCATTTGGTGGGTTTCTGAATACACAAGTCGTACTTCATATTAATCAACGCGGAGAGGAAAGACGTCTGTTGTGCCTCGTAATTTCGCTTTTCGGCGAATGTTAGGGACTTCTGCTCCTTGTTAAACTTCTTCATTAATATATCAAATGTCTGATTTTACTAGTTGCTCACTCAAATGGGCAGAAACTCGAGACGAAACGTTCTATTTTAGGTTAGTTTTGTGTTTTTTATATTTGTCGCCATTGCCAAGCATTCTTATAATTACTTTTCATATTACACAATCCACTTCTGTTATTCAACTTATGATTCCCAAAATTGAGTATTATTTTTTTTGTTAAATAACTACAAATTGATTAAGCTGAAAATGTATGTAAAACAATAATAAATGGATTTTTAAGAAGAATGGGGTGTTTTTGTTCTTTCTTGACCAGTTCAATTGTGGTGTTTGGAATGTTGTTAAAAAACACTACTTTTCGGAGAGAAAGAAATTTTTTTTTGAAAGAAAAATAGATACTTGTTGTTATTCTTGAAAAGCAAATCACTGTAACACCCCTCTTATTTTTTTCTTTTTATTATAAACACAGTTAACCTATTACAAATTGAAGAGTTTGGCTATTAAAAATAAGACTGATTTACGTAAAAGCATCCCAATTTGTGTTAAGTTCAGAATAATGGTCATAAAGTATATTTTTTTGCAAGTAAAAAATTAAACAATTCAAAAAGTTCTTTGAACAACAAGAATTTTCTAAAATTTCAACCATAACCACAATATGATGTTTGTGTTTTTAAAAGTTAATTTGAAAATTTATTATAATTAGACTGACTTCCTCGAAAACAAGCAACACTATGCCCAACTATGATTTGTCAACTAACCCGTATGCAAAATAACAGAGGTGATAAATTGTTGACTTTTGGTTATAAAGATGAAAAGTAATACCAAAAAATATTTAGTGTACAAAATGAATAAAAAATCCTTTTCAATAGTTCATTTTATTACATTTTTACTATATAAATGACATAAATAGACGAAAATTGTTTTAAATATAATATATTTTATTATAAAATTAATTATAATCTGTAGTTATGGTAAAATTGTATCACTTTCAAAAGCGGATTCTTCATTCAATGATTTTAACAATATTAGACTTAACTAATTTAGAATAGAATAATATATTTAAGAGTTTCGATAAAATGTTATAAAAAACTTTGAAAACTATAAATTTTGGTTAAAAATATTTTGATATTTTTAAAATTGAAAAAAATACTAATAAGTTGTTGTTGTTTATAATAATATAAAAATTTACCAATTGGCTACTTTTTGAAAATAAATTTTATTTAATCAATTTGTGATTATTTGTTATAAATAGAACATGAATATTTATATAAACGGCATCATATGTATATTATTACCATATCAAGCTTTAATATTATTCAATAATATTATTAAATAAATAAATAGATAGATAAATAAAAACAGACAAATAAAAAGTAGCAATTGAAACAATAACATATTGAAAAGTTTTCGAATTAATTTGTTCGATATTTTTACTATTATTAATGCTTTGTATTATTTTATATGTTTTATTGGATGTTAAATATGAAATAAAATTAAAACTAAAATAATATTTCAGTTACCAAATAATAAGTGAATTATATGTTTATAACACCAATAATTGTTTTTATACTAAACATTTTCAATATTTTATAATTATTAAAAAATACAAAATAATTTTTAAAAAATTTTATTCATTTGTTTATTTTATTTGTTACAATTTCAGTTGTTAAAAATAATAATAATTAAAATTTACACCAATTAAAATTAACCATATTTTGCTTGTTTTTCATATTACTTTTGTTTTCAAAAATATGTAGCCAATGGAATAAAGAGAATTAAATTATTTTTATCCAAATTTTTTATCCAACTAATTATTTACTTAATTGTCAAGAGTACTGTTGAACATTAACAAATTCAATTTATTATGTTGTTAAAAACAAAAAAATCATTGCTCCAACATGTCTCAATTATAATTGTGATAATGTACTAAAATACATTAATTGTAATGTATTTTTTCATATTACAATTGTTTCCGAATATTAATATAACAAACATAACTAATTGGTTGTAAATAAGAAGTCGTTAAATATTGTTCTTTTTGGACAATTTTTAATTGTTATTTGATTGAAACAATGTTTGAAAATGAAAGTAAATTTATTTCAAGCACATTTCAACACAACACTTCAAGCACTTTTCAAAATTTAAACCACTTTTAAAATTTCTGGTCTTTATAAATTACATTTTTTAAAGACGATAATATTTTAATTGTTGAAATTACAACATTTTTTAAAATGTCATAATTACAACAACAATGTATTTTGAATTGTATTGAATAATTTACTATACATTACAAATATGTTTAACAATTCACATTAGTTTCTGAAAAGGCAAGAAGTTCATAAAAAATGAATTATACAACAATTAATTTAATGTTAGTTGATATATTAATTCGTTTTTAAGATTTTTTTAAAACATTTTGTAACTATAAAAACAATTAATTTTTCATTAAATATTATAATATGTTATTTTTAATAAATTAATAATGACAAAAACTATACATTTATATTTATAACAAATTCTATTAAATGATATTTTTTATAATTAAATTAACTAGAACCGAATTAAGTGAAGAATTAAAAAAGAGAACTAGAACTGCTTAAAATCAAGCAATATGGAAAAGGGGAACAAAAAAGGAGACGTAGACGATTACAGTGTGATGGAGAAGGACATCTACATTGAGAAGGTGATTCTCTTTCAGCAGCGGGATTGTTGTTCGAAGACTCATATCAACGTTCCGATGTGCAAAAAGTTTCTTACGCGCATTGTAGCTGCGATGAACAAAGGCGACATTTTCAATGAAGAAGAGTCCACTGAAATTTTCTTTGCATTGACCAAACTGTTTACCTCACAAGACTTAACATTACGAAGACTGTGGTATGTGTATTAGATGATATGTTCCCTTTAACTTCGACTTCTTTCATTATAGTTAATTCAGTGAGTAAAGACTTAAGTGACAAGATCTCATCATTCCGATGCAGCTCATTAAGATGTTTGAGTCGACTGATGACACCACAAATTGCACCGTCCATTGAAAGATTCTTTAAACAAACGTTAGTGGACTCCACAATGACAGTACAAATAGCTTCGTTAATCTGCTGCTTGAAATTGCCTCAAGATATCGTCCAAAAATACCTCACGGAAACTTCAAGTTGTGTGGACTCTCCAAACGCACTTGTCCAATACCACGCCACTCGTCTCTTCTTCTTCATTAAACAACAAGACCCACACGCTTTACTCAGATTTATAACAACAAAAGCACCTTCGATCACTTCGTCTTTTGCTCAAATGGAGTTGATTAGAAAGGCACTTTCTCTCTATATGCAGAACCCTACCAAGAATGAAGCAATGGTGAACTACATTGTAAATGTGACCCAAGGATCGACGGACATGATTGTCATTGAATCCCTCCGCGCTTTGATGAAAGCGAACCACACAAAAGGTCTTTCCAAATTGGTACCTCGTCTTCAAAAACTGCTTTCTTCCACCTCGACCGTAACTAAGTTTGCAGCAGTCAGAATCGTCTCGGAACTTGCGACAAAGAGTCCGGAAGTGATTGCGATACTTCGGAATGATATTGAAAGCTTATTGAAAGACTCCAACAGAGCGATAGTCACATTGGCGACATCTGCTGCGCTTCGTATTTCGACGGAGAAGAACATCGAGAAGCTCTTGAAGAAGATCGGGAAATTCATCCAAGGACTTCCTGATGGGTTTAGAATTCAAGTTCTCGACACCATTGAACAGACTGCGGAGAAGTATCCGAACAAGCACGAGTTCTTGATGAAGTTTTTGGGGAACATGTTACAAGTGAAAGGAGTCATCTTTGAAAATGCGGTGATCACGGTGATGGTGCACATTGCCGAGATATCAATTTCACTCAGAGAAAAGATGTTACACGTGTTGGGAGACTTCATTGAGGATTGCCAATATTCACAAGTCATCGAAAGAGTCATTGGTATATTTGGAGAAGTTGGTCCGTTGTGTAAGGAGAGAGTGTCGTTACTCAGAACCATCTTCAACAGAATTGTTCTTGAAAACGCAAATGTCAGAGCGGCGGGAGTTTCTGCTCTTTTCAATTTCGCGAACAACAACGAGAACATTGAAGATGTCAAGGTGTTGATGGAGAAGTGTAAGAATGACGAGAACGATGAAGTGAAGAACAGAGCCAATTTCTATTGTAAAGTACTTGAGGAGAAAATAGTGAAGGAGGTCAATGAAAATGTCATCGACGAATTTCCAGTCGACAATATGGAAGAGGCTCTTGACAAGTATTTGAATGAAGGAAAGTTTGATGAGGAGTTTGACATCTCTACAGTGTCGAAGGAGACTAAAATAGAAGCCCAGAAACGCGAAGAAGAGGAGGTGGTCAGTCGTAATGAGAGCGAACTTGAAAGTCGCAACAATGAACTGTTTGGTGAGCTTGGAAAGGTCAACAAGACTTGCAATGAAATTTTGGTGTCTGGCATTGATACCGAATACCAAGTCTCTGTCACAAAAGTTGTGTATGAGAAGCATTTGGTTTTGAAGTGTAATGTGAAGAACACACTTCCGGATTACCAACTGGAGAACGTTGAAATTATACCTGGAACTATGAAGAACTATGAGGTTTTCAAAAGCGTCAAAGTTCCAAGAATAGCACCACTTGGAGAGGAGTGCGTTGTGTTAATTCTTCTTATCAAAAGTGCGGGGGCTGAGAGTATTAGTCTTAAAATGAATTACCAATTGAGAGAATACAATTCAATTAGTCAAGAGTTGGCTCAAGACACGAGTGATGAAGAGTACCCACTGGACCAAATTGCAATCAATGCGTCTGATTATATTGGGGAATATCGAGTACCGGACTGGAACACAGAATGGAACAAAATTGTTGCTCAGAATGAGAAGAAGGTGGTAATCAAATATCAAAATGTGGAGAGTATTAAAGAAGCTGTTGATCGTATCAAAACACACTTTGGGTTGGGTGTTATTGATAAGAGTGACATTGTCACTCCTGAAGAAAAGAAACACATTTTGTTCTTGGCAGGGATCATGAAAGGAAATGTCGTTCTCATTAGAGTTAGACTGATGATAGACAAAACTGGACAAATACCACTGGAAGTCTGTATCAGATCCCCAGACGCCGAATTAGCAACATCCCTTCACGCTTCACTTTAATTTTATAGTACTTAAAATTAATTGAATCGAACTTAGATGTTGTTAATGTAATTAAAATTAACTAGTTTTAACTTTTTTAATTGAATAATTTAAAATAGGTTAATTTTAATTTATGTATTCTATAAATTGTTTCGTGTTAAGAGAAAGGATGGACATGGGGACGAAGGACGGGAATATAGGCCGAAGGACGTCCTTTGTGGTTTAGGGACGTCCTCCCGCTATAAAGGGCGTCCTTTATGTGTATATGGTGTCCTTTCTATTATTTTCGTGTCCGCGGCATTTTAT